TCTCAAAATTGCTCAAGTGAGCCTGAATTTGTAAACAGTTCTGGACTGATTAATACTGCCTTATTTATTGATTGGAAAAAATGCCAATTAAAAGCATTCTCAAATCTGGTCATTCCCTCTTCTTAATTTCAAATTTTCTTTGGGAAACAGAACTGAAATCTGATTCCTTTTTTCAAATAAAACCCTTCTGCAGTACTTTGTTTCTGTAACATTTATGAAGAATATTCGTGAAGTTGATACTTACTGGTATATTGATTACTGACATTTTCATTTCTAAAAAAGAATATTGCCATGTTGCTCAAGTACTACCCAACAATTTGCAGAACTTAAAGACTTGTCAGGTATCCTCTTAATACTTAGAAGATCAAATCAGTGACGGTGCGTGGTTTTGTTCTGGGTTAGATGATCTGAAGCAAAGATAAAGCAAGCAAGGGAAAAAAAAAACAACAAAAAAACAACAACAAAAAAAAAAACAGATAATCTTCTGTGCAAAAAAAAAAAAAAAAAAAAAAAAAAAAAAAAAAAAAAGAAAAAAAAAAAAAAAAAAAAAAAAAAAAAGAAAAGAAAAGAGAAAAGAAAAGAAAAGAAAAAAATCAACCTAGATGCTTCACCTGACAGTTACTGACCGATCCTGTAACCTGTTCAAAGATGTTTCTTTTTAAATACAGCCTCGTACGGTTTTATTCCTGTCCTAGAGAATGAGAGCTCCTGAAAGACTTCTGGTAACTCAAGTCCATGGTTAATAGACTTGGTTAATGTTTTGAGTTAATAATGATGATGGATATGAAGACTGTTTTCTTTGAATTAAACTGGATTTTCTTGTGTTTGTACTGTGATGTGATAAACAGAAAGGATTAACAAAGCAGCTCTATTTATTCTTTTAGCTTTTTGTACTATATTTCAACTTGTGTTTCATTTTTGTAAAGAGAATTTCCTGGTAAGAAAAATCTCCTTATCCTTTTTGAAGGTCTTTGTTCCGTGTGTGAACTACCACATTTCTGCTGCATTTCTTTTCATCCATGGTAAATAACTAGAATGGAGTGTACAATACAAAGGCAGAAACTATTATCAAAATGTTATGGCATTGTATTAACTTCACGCTGTGCTCTGTTCAGCTCCTACTGAGTTCCAAATTATACTGAACTTTGACTTTTCAACTGCATGTAGTATTATGCACACTTGTGGAGTATCACTGGTGTACTTGTAAAGTTAAGAAGGGATTAAAAATGTGTATTCAATTTGTTAATTATAAAAAGTAGCTTTACTAAAAGACTTTTGGCACTTAAATAAATTAGAAATGGGAGTCTGTAGCTTTATCAAGCATCTGAGTGAAAGCACCAGAAAGAAATAAGTTGGAGAGCAGGTTACACTGCAGAACTTCCAGACATCAGTGTCTTAAAGCTGAAAGGCCTCCGAGTGCATGTGCAAAAATTCAACAGAAAAATCTTTGGTATGTTTGGATTCTGTTTAAATGAGATGAGTGGATAGAACATGGTCCAATTTATGGCTATGTTCCTTCTTGATTCTAAACAGGCTGTCTTTCTTTGCAGTCTTTTTATGAAATATGTATGTCTTATGAAGTTCCTGGTTTTGAGATTTAAAAAAAAATATATATATGCTGAAGTGATGTCTTGCTTAAGAGAATTCTTCTCAAAGTGAGTCTGTCTTGGCTGTGTTCAACAGACTCCCAATAGGCTGATTTGAAGATATGATCACCTTATAACTAATGGCCTCCCACCTGTATTTTGGACAAAACTGTCCCCTCCTCGCAATCCAATATCTAGCTGTATTTCTGATGTAACAGAATACCCTGGAAAATGAAATTAGAATCAATGAAAGTCATCTGTTTAAACGTACTAGAAATTTTACAGCTATGGGTCTTATGTACTTTGCCTCTTGAGAAACTATGATGATAGAAAGCAAAAAAAACATCTGGTACTCCTTTATTTTCCCTAAACATCTGTTAACTTCTTGGCTGCATTTACCGTGGCTTTTAACTATACAGGCAACACTTACTTGCAGCTGTAAGGAACCAGATATGCTAGGGTGTGGACATTGCTCTTTATTTTCATAATATGGGTGAGGCATAAACCAAACTTGACGTGTTAGTAATCATGAGAGTATACATTCCCAATAGCCATGCATGTTTATGAAGCTATTATAATATATGCAGGGAAAAGTGATATTCTTATGTTCTTACTTTGTGTTAAAAGCAGAATGCTGGAATTCAAAATTTTGGTATGTACGTATATAAGACACAGATACAAGTTTGATTTAGTTGTATTTAAAGTGAATATTATACATGATATTAGTGGTATTCTCAAGGGGCTTTTACTAGGTCAAGGCTGTCTGATGACAGTTATTAAAGCTTTTATTTTACACTTCCTAAAACATTTTATTCTGTTTTGGTTTCAGAAATTATAAATGTCAAAATCAATTTCCAAATAACATCTCAGAGGAATATGATTTGTATAAAAATTAAGTATTATTTTTGCCAATTCCTGTTTTTTTTCACTGCCCAATATCTTATTTATATAGCTTATATAGGATAGGCACTGTGATAAGTGATGGTATCACATGTTATCATGTAAACAGATATGCTTTTTGCTCTTAAGTATATCTTTAGCATAAATGACAACGCAAATGTTAGAAATGCACAAAACTACTGAATGCCATCTAAGAGATACAGAAACACACATGAAACATAAAAAAAAAAATCTTGGATGCATATGTGAAACAACAAACAGAAGAGAGGTTATTTCATGTCTGGATATGATTTCATTTAGACAGAACTTTCCATCTTCCTGTTGACTATCAAAAATCAAGAGCTACTGTGACTTCCCATTTTCAGGGTATTTTGCCAGGAACAGTCACCAGTTGCAAATACTGGCTGTGCCAGAACTGGAGAGGGTCAGACCTGTTTCAGAGAAATCTAGGCCTTCCTGTTCCAAATGTAAACGACAGCTGGCTTGTTACCCGCAGAGAAAGATGAAAACATATTGCTAGCTAGGGCATGTTAAAGTAGTATCCTGTCATTAGTTATTTAGCAGATTGAATTATTCAATCTGGTGACTATTTGCCTACAATTCTCTATAGCCTGAGATTTTGCTGAATCCTTTTGTCCCCTAAGAGAGCAATTCTTTTCCTTGGAGAGTATACAATGTGTATATGCAGTTGTACAGTGATTCCCAAGGAGCAAGCCAGACTCAGATTTCATTGTTGAGCAGTATGCTGCAGATCATATGTAGAGATTGAGTGAATAAACTCATCCAGATCACCCTGGCATATATACAATTGTGGGTATGTATGTGTGTGCATTTATATATACATGTACCCCATTTAGAATGACTTTGAAGTGGTGGTAGCTCCAGTGTGTGCAAGGGGCAATGAGAAAAAGGCTTTTTTGAAGAATCAGGAAAGGAAGTAATTTGCTGAGGCAAAGATCCCAAGAATGACTGGAATTCCGGACTTAGTAGGAGCTCTTCTAATGTCTCATTATGGTTGGATCTCAGGAAGTCATCTAGTATGACTCCCTCCTTGAAGCACAACTAATTTGAAAACTGCATCATGATGCAGTCCAGTCCAGTTTAGCCCTGGGAACCTCCAAGAGTGGCCCAATGAGGTCTCTTCTGTTGACTTCCATGTGTAGCTCATTCCTGGCATGGCCACTGATTGTCAGATATGCATAGCTACTTTCTACCATTTTCCTGCCTATCTGCGTGACATGTGTTGGTACTTATGTGCAGCCCCCCCTTTTTGTTTTTTGATCTAAAGACTTCAATTATATTGAGACTAAACTTTGCATATTGTGTCCCTTCGCTGTTTACTGCTCTTTGCTGGGGCTGTTTAGTCTGGGGAAAAGGAGGCTGAGGGGAGACCTTATTGCTGTCTTCCAACATCTGAAAGGTGCTTACAGCGAGAGCGAGGTTGGTCTCTTTTCACTGGTGACAGGATGAGGGGAAATGGCCTTAAGTTGCACCAGGGGAAGTTTAGGTTGGATATCAGGAAAAGCTCTTTACAGAAAGGGTGTTAAACACTGGAAAAGGCTCCCGAGGGAGGTGGTTGAGTCACCTGGATGTGTTTAAAAACTGTTTGGATGTTACACTCAGGGACGTGATTTAGCAGAGAGTTGTTAGAGTTTGGGTGGTATGGTCAGGTTGTGGTTGGACTTGGTGATCTTTAAGATCTTCTCCAAACTGAGCAATTCTATGATTCTTTGGCCAAGAGAATACCAAGGATTCCCCAAAGTGCAGGTTATGGTCTAACAAATAACATTATCAGGAAAGCAACATTTGCTCTCCATCTTGTGACTTGATCCTTCTGGCACTATACGCTTTTCTGGGGTTCCAGTTATTGCTGTTATTAAAATAAGCTTGTAAACAGATCTTAAGGTGACTTAAAATATTTTTTCCCTCTAAAAGCATTTTTCAAACTTACTTAGAATGCCTGGATGTTCCTAAGATAGTAATGTTAGAATATGGGGCAACTCTTCATTGTCAAGTTGTATCACTATTGTTTGACTTAGCTATATCTCCTCAGTGGAAGCACTTGAGTTTTTCATTAGTTCAGTATAAAGGTCATTCCAAGCGGTTAGAGAATAATAAATAGGTGCCATCTACTGTAGCAAGAGAATTCGTATCAGTTGCAGGTTGAAGTTTCCCAGGTGAGAACCTACTGACATAATGACACAGAACTCTGCTTTCCACCTCCTGTTTTTGGGCCACGCTCTGCCTGACCTTTATGTGCATCCACAGATATCACAAGAAATTGTGAAAAACATCCTCTTTTACTCCCTGTGAGTTGTCCACAGGAGGCCTCAGCAAGGCTGAGTTGGCTGGCTGGCATCCCTACGTATGTTACTGGGAGCCTTGTAGAGAGTTCAAAAGAGCTTGGATTTCTTCTCTGTTGTTTCTTCTTTTGTAATGACACTGTAAAAGTATTTGCTTGCTCTGACCTGTCTCCTTCCATAATAAGCTCAGATGGGTGCTTGCTCTATTTTTCCATCCAGAAGCTCCAAGGAGGCTTTTGAAATTTTCTTGTACGTACCAGAAGTTTCTAAATGCCTGACAGTATGAGAATGACTGCAGAGGACACACCACGTACATGGGTAAGCTCAGTGCTTCTGAAATCCATCAGGCTGCTTCTGCGGTGTTACCGTGCTCAGTAAACGTTACAAATGCCTCTGTAGATATAACAGCAGTAAGATTGATGCTTTCTATCCACCTGTGACCCATCAGCCCACGTACCGATTTCAGCCTCTAAGCAATGCTGTGCTGCTCCCCACAAAACACGAGGCATTTGGTGAGATCCCCCCGGGCTGTAAGACCTCCCTGCAGCCTTTAAAGGCTTCAGAAGGATGACTTAAATTGGCACATCTTCGTGGAAAGCCGATACGCTCGTCTGGGGAAGCGATGCTTGCTCTGCTCCCTTCCTTCCCCGCCGGGACCTGCCACCTGCTCCTGGTGGGGAGCGGCGAGAGGGGCACGGCCCAAACCCTGGTTTCCAACCGGTAGGTCTCCCCTCGTCCCGCAGCGCGGAGGAGCGGGGCTGTGGCGGTGCGGGCGCAGCGCCGTCCCGTGCGGGCAGGTCGGAGCCCGCCGGCCTTCCCCGCCCTCTCCAGGGCTCGTTTTTTTGGAAAACCGAGCGCCGATCCACGTGCGGCGCTGACGGGGTCGCAAAGGGGATAAAAAAAGAACAACAGCGGAAAACAGCCCGGCGCGCCTCTCAGCTATCACCACGTTATCACCTGCGTGTGCCTGGAAGGAGGCTCTTCCCTCCGCTGAGGAAAATCAGCTTAGGAAAGCAAAGTTTGAACAGCGAATTCCTGTTATTTCTAAGCACCCCATGTGACAGGATATTTCCTTATCGTTTCGAGCCCGGAGCTTTCCCCCGATCCACCGGCCCTTCACAAGTGCGGCGGAGCTGCCCGGCGGGCTCCTCTCCTCGCAGCGGCGATGGCTCCCGCCCCGCTCCTGCTGCTCCTCGCCGTTCTCCCCGGCGCTTTTCCTCTGCTGGGTAAGTGCCCGCAGGGACTGTGTGCAGCACGCCGGGAAGAGGGGGGGGGTCTCCGAGCCCCGGCTGACCTGAAGCGTTGTGTGTTTGTGTGTGTGTGTACGCGTGGAGGGGGGAAGCTGCCGCGCAGGTGGAGAGGAGCCCCGGGGTCGGTGGGCAGCCCGCAGCCACGTTATCCTGAGGGCAGCCCGCCCTGCCCCAGCTGAGCTGATCCATGGCTGAAGTTGCCCTATTCGGTGGCCCTTTGGGTTTTGGCATCCTAGAGTGCCCCAAGCCAGGCTGTCCTGGGAATGTTAGCATAGCCAGCGTATTGGCATAGGGTCTCTGGTTGAAAGCTGGAGCTTGCACGTGACAATTGCTGTGATTTCCAGTGCGCTGCTTTCATACAAGAAAAACTTTTGCATCTGCCATTCCTCAGCATCCTTCGTGGTTAAGGTTGAGGTTTACTGGAGCAGTTTCGTAATGCCAGCTTGTAACCTTTCTTGCTTTGTGTAGTTAGCTACAGTCATTGCAGGCTGTCTGCTAAGAGAAGTCACCCTACATGCTGGCTGCCTCCTTGCTTCCCCTCTCCCTTCCTCTGGCTTTTGGTGTGCTGCTGGGGCGTTCTGCCTCGGCCTTTGATGCTGTTAATGCTTCTCTGACTTCATGAGCCACTTTTTGATCTCCACTCGTAATCTATGATAGCCTGCAAGTGCTACAAAGTCTAAAGCTGTTTTTGCATACTGGAACTCCTAAAATGTAATTTCTACAAAAGATACTTGGCACAATCTTTCTGGGACTGGCATTGGGCAAATAGGCAAAGCGTGATGGATAAAGAAAAATAAAAACCAGTGGGAAAAAATCTATCAGGGTTTGCTTGGGACAGCTGAGAGAAAAGATGCTACATGTCTCTGGATTGGTTATTGTTTTGGTTTAACACTGAAAGATACCTAAGTACTGCACTGCTGCTCTCTTGTCCCAGTCCTCTGGGAGCTGGGTGTGGGGATATCTGGCCAACTCCTAGAGCAGCTTCCTCCTGAAGCTTTTACTGCTAAGAGTGATCTCATCTGGTACGGAATATTCCTTTGGTCAGTTCAGGGTCACTGTCCTGGCTGTACCTGCTTCCCATCCAAGTGCCCACCCCCAGCCACCTGACCTTTGGGGGCTCAGGCTGTTAACACAGCCTTGATGCTGCGCAGCCACTGCTCAGCAACTGCCTAATCATTAGTGCAATATCAGCACCATTCTAGCTACAAGTGCAAAGCACAACACTGTATGGGCTGCTGAGGGGAAAGTTGATTCCAGTCCAGCCAGACCCAGTACTGTTCTAGTGGTTGGTTCCTATGTCTGGCAGCATTCTAAAGGACTTCCTTCCAGAAGTAAATTTTGAAACTTTTATTATGGGTTACTCCCTTAAAATCTGTACTGAGACCGTGTTACTTGGGGTGATGCTGTGGAAGACCTTCCTATGTACCTCCTGTAGCTGATCTGTAGTGAAGAATGGGTGTTCTAAAGCAAACGTTTCTACTGAATAGTGATGGAACACATGGTTATGTCACTGAAATCTGGGAATAAGACTTTCCAACACAAATGACATGTTAGAAAGCTGACATTACTTTATTGCAGTACTCAGTGCATAGGGGAATCTTTCCTCCTAGCATGTACATGCAGGAGCTAAAATGCACACACACACACGCATATATAGCATGTGAATATTCACACGTTTTCTGCAAAGCACCTCCTTATTCTGAGAATTGCTATACTCATTAAAATCCAATGCTATGCATGTTCTGTGTTATTATGGGGTTCTTTTAACGGATCTTTGGTGGTTGGTTGGTTCCACTGGGAGGTGCTATCTAGCCAAAAGTTCATATGCTTAGTAGGCTTGGTCCCTTATTTGGTCAAGGTATTATTTATAGAAATTGGCTGCTGACTAAGTTTGTAATTATTGTTTTGACCTTATGGTAGCTAATGCTACCAACCCTTGTGGAGTACAGCGTACTACTTCACTTGTGAACACTGAGACTCTGCTTTTAGATTCCAAGTGTCCTGCTTATTTAGGAAAAGCAACCTTCCCTAGGTAGGATGTTAGTTTGCTTAAGGCTCTGAATTAGTTGCTGGTTATCAATTACGTAACTGAATAATTTTGCTCAGCTCATTTGACAGATGCAGCACAATCTGTTAGCAAGAAGTGATATCAAGTGGTTAGAGAGAAGTGTTGGCAGGGTATAATGAGTGTTGCACAGATACCTGACTTTTTTGATATTCTTCTAGTCTCCCTAATATCTCCCTTATATCTCATAAAGAAAGTGTTATATGGGAATCTATATTGGTGTTCAAATAGACACAGAAGTACAGCTGTAAACTGGAGCATGATAGAAGTCATCTGCACGGTGATGGATGTGACAGGAGTGACTATGAGGGAAAGGGAATTCTGCAGTCTCGGTCACAGTTGCTCCTGTATCCTTTTGCCTTGTTCTTCCGTCCTGTTTGGGTGCCAACTTATTTTCAATACCTACTTGTATAAGATGCTGCATTGTGTTTACACACTGTAATGCCTTGTAAAGGTACAGTCAAAATGTAGAGGACCAAAGATTTACTTTTCTTCCCCTAGCCACACCTCTTTATTCAACTTTCTGGCATTGTCTATGCAAACAAAACCTCCACACTGCTTTTGGCTTGGCTACAGCAGTCCAGACTTTTGACTTGGGACTATGTTTTTCTAGCACCCTATTTTTTTGTCTAGCGCCCTCTCTTTAAGACCGTAAGTTGCATAAAATACATAATGTTGTGTTAGGCCAGAAGTACAATTTTAGCAGTTTAAAAGATCAAGTGGTGTTTTTTACACTTGTGAAAAAGTCTGACGTTTTCTTTTAACCGGAAACTTTAAGTAAGATTTCAGGAAAAGGAGAGTTGCAAGCATTGCATGTATCGTTGTGCTAAATGCTGGTAGAAAAGCAGAATCAAAAGTTATCACCAGCAGCGACAATTATATATTTCCTTGTATTGTCTATGAGTAAAACTGATTGGCAAAAGGGAACAATTTGTGCCTCCAGTGCTCATCAGTTTTATACTGCTTCCCTCTGAGATACAAGCCAGAGGACAGGAGAAGGAAACTGACCCGTGGGTGAGATAAGTCTGGATCAGCTCTTTTTCTGACATGGAAGCTATTTGTTCCCAGCTTCTTCTCTAGTAATTTATGATCATTTCCACATCAGCAGAAAAGGGAAAATGTTTTGTGGTGTATCTGTTCTCCTCTTAGGTACTTTTGCATTGTATAACTTGCTTACTTTGGTAATCTAACGCTAAAATAAATAATATTTTAATTAGCTTTAATCCCAGAGTAACATAAATAAGTATTTATCTTCCCTTGCTTGTAGCTCAGTTAAAATATATTTTTAAGGCCTTGATCAACCTGTTAATTTATGAGATAGAATGTTAGAGAACGATTAATTTATCACCCTAAAATGTATTTCAAGAGGACCAAAGGAGAAGGAAAAATTCTCTCTCTGGATGAGACCAGCTCACAAACGTTTACCATGCAGTAGATCCAGGTCGTAAAAGAAATGCTAGGAACTTCTTTAGTGATTTCATGTTTGAAACAAAATGGATAAATGCATGTTGTTAACTACGTTGTACTAAGAAGGAGAAATAACTTTGAGAGCTATAAACAGTCTCATAAATTTTCATTGGTCACTAAGAGGCATACCTGTTGATGGCAAATCACACTGTTGTCGGTATTTCATTCTTAGTGGAAAAATGTAAGAAAGAAGGAAATCACCAGTGAATGCAGCTGAGAGAAAAATGGTGATGCTATTGTAACCCTGCAAGTAGCTTGTGTGTAAAGGTAAATTAGGGAAAAAAAAAAATCTTTCCCCTTCAGTAAGACTTTGGGGATTTCAGCAGAACTTATGAAAGCAGATCTGTCCACCATGGAGAAACAGAGCCTGAAGAACTCACTCTGTAGTCCTTGTAAAGGGAGTCAGGATCAAGGAAGCAGAGCTGCCAGAGTGCTCAGCCTCCAGCCCTGCAGCACATGGTGTGCATGTGCCCTGTTCTCACTCAGTCCCATGGGTGCAGTTTGGAAAAGAACTATGATTGGGCCTTTTTTCCTCAGTTTATCCCATGGTTTAAAGCTGCATGAGGTACTAAATCTGTCTCTGCCTTGCTGTTTTTAGTATATATTCTTTCTTTGATGCAAAATAGTTTAAATGTCCTGGAATCTGAACTAGTTGTATTCTGCAGTCACTTTAACAGCTGTAAGCCATGGGAGAATCCTGTCCTCTTTTTGCTGAACAGATGATGAGATTTCAGCCCTAAGAGTAGTATCTAGTCTTGTATTTCATTTAGATAGTAGGTAAAATTGTTTCAGGCCAAGTGATTCCATTGTTCTTTGTCTTACAGATACTAGCACCTTTTTAATATATAATGAAGATCACAAGCGCTGTGTATTGGCTCAGAGTTCTAATTCAGTGACTACTGCTCCTTGTGTTCAAGAAAATGAGTCTCAAAAATTCAGGTGGGTCTCAGATCACCAGCTTATGAGCATAGCATTCAAATTGTGCTTGGGAGTACCTTCGAAGAAAGACTGGGTTCCGATCACTCTGTATCCTTGTGACAAGGCTAGTGAACTTCAGCGATGGGAATGCAGAAATGAGACTCTCTTTGCAATCCAAGGGGAAGATTTGTTTTTCAACTATGGAAACAGACAGGAAAGGAATATTATGCTTTACAAGGGATCTGGTTTATGGAGTAGGTGGAAAGTCTACGGAACTACAGACGATCTGTGTTCTCGAGGCTATGAAGGTAAAGTTCTATAAATTAATTTCTGTATTTTGAACTGGCTATGTGTATCTAATTGCAATACAGGAGATATGTAGGAGAATTACCGTAGTCTTCTTGGTGATCAGTGAGTGTGGGCTTTGGTAAAACCTATAGTACTTGAGTGTGTTTTATGTTTTCTGTGGGGTTCGTTTTGCTTTTTTGTCAAAGGTATGATAATTAAAAATTAGATAATTAACCATGCAAGGCACAGGACAGTGATTCATTTGGAAGGAGAGGGAAGTCTTCGGTTGTTTGGAACATGCATATAACTATTATGCAACAGTTAATGATATTTTTTGACTTTTTAAATATGTACAGAAAGCCAATGAGTGAATGCCTGTTCTGCTGATTATGTTCACCTCTTCTCTGTCACTCCTAGGGAGAGACGTATATATGTTTATGATGGCATCTTGGCAGAGAAAGGGAATGATCCATTTTCTAGGGTTTATACAAAGAATAACTACTGTATTATGGCTCTGGGTCAAAAGCTTTTATTTAAGTACAGCATAAAGAAGATACTCTGTGGTGTAGCTTTCGGGTTTATAGCTACATGAAATTGTGTTTAAAATGATCAGCACTTGAGTTATCAACACAAGAATCAGATTGTGTGGGCCTAAAAAGCAAATGGCTTGATTTTATGTATTTTATACTTTTGATTGTTATGCATGTAAAATTTTGTATGGGAATACATTTGTCTTGGCTCAGTCAGTTCTGGTCAGTAGTCTCCTTTTCTGGCCAGTGGCCTGCTTTAAGTGATGAACATTGGTCTGTAACAGATTACACCTACAGATTAAAAATTATCAGCATTTCATTGATAATGCATATTGTATACTAAGCTAGCAAACTGTGCTTACTCTAATACGAACGTGAAGCTGGATTGATATATATCCCATGCAAATTACCACTTACACATTTTTTTAAACTATCGTATCTCCTTAGATACCTACACAGTGAGAGGAAATGCTGAGGGAGCACCTTGTGTATTCCCTTTTAAATTTGGTAATAAGTGGTATGCTGACTGCACAGATGCTGGCAGAGCAGATGGCTGGTTCTGGTGTGGAACCACTGCAGACTATGATGTTGACAAGAGATACGGATTTTGCCCGCTGAAAAGTAAGTTTCATGTATTGAAGATTCTTCTTTGCTCTTTTATTCAGCTGCCTGGGAATATTGCTGTCCTTTTCATGTGCTCTACAAAGTGTAATTCAGAACTGTATTTTTCCATCTATACACAGCTAGCTATCCTTTTAGGAACTATTTACATATGTGAAAATATGGCTCAGCATAAAAAAAAGCCATGACTAAATACAGGTGAAAGCATGTGAATTGTACACTGGAATGTGTAATTACACCATGTACTCGAACAGAAAGTTAATTTGATGTAAAGATGTTACATTAGTATATCCTATAGGCTGCATAGAAATTTGTACTGCAAAATTGGGAACTAGAATATAACTTAAATGAAAATTAAGACTACTTCAGAAATGAATTGGATTTGAATATAAAAGAGCTTATGTGGTATTTCCTTAATGTATATACTACGTTGCTTACTGTTCTGCAGTAGAATAATTAAAAACAGTGAGAAGCATGTATATTATTAATTCCCTGGTTTAAGTGCACCTAGAGTTTGAGCTGTAGTATTATGTAATACAGAACTTCACGTAGAAATGTTGATATTCCTTTAAGTAAATTTGAATACATGTTGGAATTACGTTTAATTTGAATAAATTTTCTCTGCACTTCTGTAAAATATGCACTAAGCACTTTGTCAGCAAACTGCTGCTTTTTCTGTCATGGTGGAAGAGGTGGCATTTTTCCTTCCCTTCTTTATTATTGTGTTTTGTTGTAAAGCTCCAACTGACTTCAGTTAAGAACAAAAGAAAAAAAATGTCTTTCCTCTTTCCTTTGATGTGAAGAAAACAGAGTCCATTGATCTTAACTGATTCGATGGTGAAGTTTTATTGTATGAAGTACGATTTCCATGAATGTTGCATTCGTTATTTCAGAGAAATAAAAATAGCAAGTTTTTTCCTCTGCCAGTATTATTTTCAAGATATTAAAAACATATTGGCAGTATTAATTCCATGAACACAACACATGCAAGTCCAGCATAAGTTTGTTACCTGTCTAGCATTCTTTGAGGAAAGCAAATAGGAGGTGTCATTAAAAAATTGTTTAGTTCTTTGACATAATTCAAGGAAATCCATTCAGATTGTTTTTGGAAAAAGCTGCTTTATGCTGATTGCCTGCATGCTTCCTTCCTGATTCTTCAGTACTGGCTATAAAATATTCACATTTAGGTCATACGCTTTAACGAGAGACAGGCAGGAGTAGGAAAGTTTTAGCCCTCCAGTAGAGCACTGCACTGTACTACAGAATGATAAGTTATTAAACTTCAAGAGCACTTTTAAAACATATAACATTGTAGTTTTTGTATATTAAACATTATTAAATAAGATGTCAGCAGTGTGGTTTTTTTAATATTTGGGGAGTCAGAGGTGCTGATATAAAGTAGGCGATGCAGACTATTACAACTCTTTCTTCTAGAGCTCAAACACTGAAATTCAGATTGAATCCATCACTTTTCTACCGTAAACAAAACCAACTCTAGTGTCCAGAATGAGGAGGTCTAAGATTGTACTAAACGCAATTGTACCCAAAAGAAATGTGGAAATCTGACTGATAGAGCTAAAAAATTGTGAGTTTGAGCCCTTTAGATGGTGCTTCAAAAAAGATGCTGATACAGTGACAATCTCAACAGAAGAAACTGATAATTTTTGCTGCTACTTCAGACAATTGTTAATTTCCTAGGAAATTCTGTACAGGGTGCACTCTGTCTTTTTGAGCTACATTTTCCATTGCTGTGTTAAAGCATGTGTTGAGGAAGATTGCACAAGGTAATATCACCAGGAACATAAGTCATGAGATGTACATGCTGCTGTATTCAGTAGGCAAAAGTCCACTGAGGCCTCTTTCTTGACAGCTGAAAAGGATAGAATTTTTCTGAAAAATTTTGAAAGACTTGTAAGTAGTGCAAAAAACTTGCAGCTGACTAGGAAGGAAATAAATAAAGAGTGCAGGGAATAAGGAAGTATTTAAATAATTTTAACTTCGAATATTAATTTCACTGGGCAAATCTGCATTTGTGCATTCATTCAAAAATATTGACTTCGTTTTATTTTATGACAGGCCTTTTCCTCGTGCTGGTGTTTTGAGATATTTTCAAGGATTTTCCATTGCGGTTTTTATGTCTAGTTCAGAATGTCTTGTGAATTAATCAGCTAAGTTACAAAGAGTCATTTGTCTTGTTTTTTTTCTGATTTACCCTGAACTCATAACTTGATTTCCTAAACTTCATTTAAGAAAAAGAAAGAGAGAAGCACTGAAGAAAAATATACCTACATGAAGATAAGCATTGAAAGAAATTCAGTATTTTTAAGGTTTTCTTTTTTACTGTTAACAACACCTAGTTTTATACCTTTGTATATGATACTGTAAAATAATATAAATTATAGACTATATTCCTTCCTGACTGTATGGTCAGGGAAGAAGAGATTGCAGTTGTATTATAGGATATCTAACAAGAATTACATTCAGTTCTCATTTACTATGATTCTATTCTTTTAGTTTCTAAGAATATTGGACTGAGGCTCTCACTTGTTCTGGATGGATAATAAAGCAAACAAGAACACTTCTGTGGTTACTGCTAGTCAAAGGCCAAATTTCAGCTTGCAGTTTTGAAATTAAAATTTCTGAAGTCCATTACCAGTTTTTTCAGATTTAGTAGAAGTAATACATGTGGTAGTCCTGTTAACACTTCTTAAAATTGCAATTGTAATAGGTATTTCCACTGGTAGGACACTTTTTCTTGACAATAATTTTTAATAACAATAATCCTCACTAATTTCAGTGTATACAAAAATACATACTGAATTAGTCTGAGTAAAGTTGAGTTTTTTTCAATTGTGCACTCAGGACAGGTTTTGTTTCACATGAATTAAATTTAGATTCTAAAATATATCATACCAGAAAAGTGAATCCTCTTTTGGTTTCCCTGGGGATGTTAAGATTTAAACAATACCATATCGATTTTCCCAAATCCTGCTCTCTTAAGGTGTTTAATTGCCTAGAACTCAAATATTTAAAAAACAAAAAATTCAAAGATTAAGAAATGAACTTTATCTTTATGAAAAACTGAAGTTCTACCGAACAGCCTCATATGCAACTGTAAATTAGAGACAGGGAGAAGAAGGTTGAATGCTTCTTTTTCTCTTTCTCTCTCTTGATTGCACAATATCTGCAAAATCCTTTCTACGAGGCCAGAGACAATCTTCTTTACTGAATTATAGATTTTAATATTGCAGTCTCTCTTTTATCCCAGACATGTGCTTGTGCACATGGTTTTGTAGAACATAGCATAGTGAAGAAATTTTGGTTTCCGATATTCATAAAATATTTGGATAGAAGTTACTTTCCGAATAATGATAATGGAATGAAAGTTTCCATATTTATTCAAAGGTCCATATTAGAGTATACTATGAATTTATTTTGTTATCTAAGGCTAATTCGAAAAGAAGCACTTCATGTTGTCTATAAACTATCAGATTTAATACAGGAAAAAGTGGAACTGGTTACTGACCTGCTGACATCTAATATGTACCACCCTTTGTCTTGAGCTTTGTTTATTGTACTGCTTTCCTCTTATTTACACGCACAGATTTTCTGAGCTCTCTGAATTCAGAAGAGACCTCTTTCAAATTCTTCACAGCTTGCAACTTAAAGAGCTGATACAGACAGGCTTCAGGAATTTCAGGACTTTCCCCATTGCAGGCCGACATCTAGTGACCTCTTTGTTCTGCTTTTGTCATGCAACTTTATTCTCTCTATGAAGTGATATTTGGCTCACTGCTGGGGGACCCCCTGTAGCTTCCATTTTTCAGTCCAATGCTTGGGTCTGATTACCTTTATTTTAGTAAGACAATCTAAAGTACCCGAAATTGTAATAGTAAGACAATCTACCCGAAATTGTAAAATAAATGAGGATTTCTTAGCTCAGAAAAAAACATCTGTTTTATGGACTTCAGTTATTGTGAGACTGTAAGACCTTAGTGTTTTTCTCCATGGTGACAAATCAGTTACTTTAGAACAACTATAGCAGTTCATCTTCAATCTTAAACAGCAGCTTTATTGTCCTGGAGAAAATGTGATATTGTTTTGTCATGTGTTGTCATGTGTTGTCCAACATGGCTGTCATGGCCTGGATTTACTAACGCATTAAAGCATTCCTTGTATACCTGTTCTTTTTTGCAGTGTGTAGCTTTGTGTATTTTTGCTCAGTGATTTATTCTATATTGTATCTGTCTCAGTCTTTGTGATCAGTCACAGCATTTCTTTTTCTCCTGGCAGTTAATAGTATTGATTCGTTGTGGAATACCGATCCTCTCACAAATGTCCAATATCAGATAAACTCTGAGTCAGCGCTAACGTGGCATCAGGCAAGAAAAAGCTGTCAACAACAGAAGGCTGAGTTATTAAGTATCACAGAGTTGCACGAACAAACATACCTAGCAGGTAGAGTAATAACAACCATCAGGGCTTTTTTTAAGTGAATTGTTTTAACTGAGACACTTACATAGCATGTTCTATCTTGAAAGCTGGTATCTTCTTCAGTTCTGTTAATTGTGGATTAAAATTGTTATCTTGAATAATTCAGCTGGAAACTTGAAAATATGATGATTTTTCTCATGAATTAATATTGCTGGAAAATTATAGTGACATAGAAACCACAGCAATTAAGTAATTCAAGCAATAAGGAAACAATTTTGGAATGTATGCAGATCCAAAGTAGTGTTCAAAGAAAAAATGCAAATGCAAAGATTGCATTTTTTTTATGCTGTATCTGCTGCATGCACTAATAAGCATTTTTGCCAAATTTCATTAAAGCTGCTATATCATCTTTATATGCTAAAATATGAACAGAAAGAAAAAGGAACTAATAAACAAGAGAACTTACAAGTAGCTTAAATTCAGATTCCTTTTTTTCCAGCAAAGTCATTTCCAAACTTCCCTTCTGTGAAAATTCAATCTTGAATTCATGCTTGAAGACGTTCATGTTCTACAGAGGCAGTCTTGTTTTCACTGTCTTCTGAGCCTGTGTGCATGCGTGAGGTAGTCCAATATTACAGCTACTAGATAGAAAAAAAATATCAAAATGTTTTCTAATCTGTGCTGTAAACTGAATTTTTGTACTTCGTAAATTCAGAGGATGATTGATTATTTGGTGAATCTATCTTTAATATTGTATGTAATCTGTTCTGTGGAAACGTTTGTTTCCAGTTAAAGGATATGGCCAAAACACAAGTCTTCTTTACTGAGCGTGATTAAGTTAATCTTCAAATTAATGCTCAAGAGAGCATTGACATTTAGGAGTGAGTTGTTAGTAGACATGTTTTAATTGCCAGTTGTAATATATTGTTGCCAAAGTCAGTTTTTCATTCTACAGCTATTCTTGCAGAATTAGGTTTTCCTATCATGCTCAGATCTTGATTCTCATAAACTGTCACTTTGGTTTGTGAAGAAGTAGTACTGGGACACATTAACCTGTTGATGCCAAATCAGACTCTGGCTTTACATCCCAGTCCTTTTCAGTACTTAACAACCTGTGCCTTTAACTTGGCTGTGCTTTAAGTGTTACCTATAACCATAGTGTCAAAAACAACTAAATACATAGAGTAAATTTGAATACTGGTATGAAGCTATCAGTCAAGGCAGAAAAGCTTAATGTAAGTTGTGCAGTGATTTCCTGTAAACTATGCAGAAATGCATCAATTCAAAAGCAGTCAGTGCTCATCCAGCTAAGCTTACAATTCTTAGACATAAAGCAGAGAGAAGCAATCGAGTCATAATTACTGTAAAAAAACCCCACAGAATTCAATAGGACCATGCATGGGCATGGTATTATTTTTAAGTGCTTTTCAGACCTGGGACAGTAAGTTGAAACAGGTTTTGGAATCCTGACTTACTTTGGCTAAAGAAGTGAATTCAGATGAGTTTCAAAATGTACCAGATGTGCTGTTAAAAAGATGACTTTTGGAATGATCATATTTAAATGTGGCATGATAAAATATAAACTGTTTACAATACTAGTTTAAAATATTTAGTAAATTTGAAACTCACATTTGTTAATTTTATTGGAAAAGAAAATATTTGCATGACAAGAAAGGATTCATATTTGGTTTTAGAAAACTGATTACTTATTTACTTCTCTTCTGTCAGCTATCAGTTTTATATTTTTTAATTCTGGGGAAAAAACTGATTTGCTTCATATATATGATAATCTCCTTACAAAGAATGTATACATATTATTGTTTCTCCATTCTAACACAATTCCCCACACCTAAAATTGCAAAAACTCTGACAGTAAAAGTAATGTGAGCGGTGTGAAAACATATGTGCAGTTTAGTGTAGTCATCTGAAGTTAAAATTTTTAAATCTTGTACAGGGAAAAAGGAGAACCAAAGAGAATTAAACTTTCAAGTTCCAAGAGAATGTTTGCTCTTGCCTTATATTGCTAGTATCTTTCTTTCTCTGTTACATAGGTTTGACTGGCAAGCTGAGTTCTGCTCTGTGGTTTGGCCTTAACAGCCTGAATTTTGACAGCGGTTGGCAATGGGTTGGTGGTGCTCCATTTAGATACTTAAATTGGGTTCCAGGTAAGATTATGGTTTTTTTCTAAGGGGTTAAATTCCTTTCTTTTCCAGTTTGTTTTGGTTATTTGCTTAATGATAGGATTTTTATTTTCATTTTGGATTAACCAACCTTGGTGATAATACATACAGAACTAAATATGTTAGACTAGTCTCCCCTGAAGCAAAACCAGCTGCTTCACACCTGTAGCTGCAATGCTGAACTCCAGTGCCAGTATTAAAAACATATTCTCCGTGCCATCTGTAGACAGCAGTGAAGAGGTGCTTTTCTGATTTATTATTCAGTGTCTGTGTTAAGGTGCCTTTTATCAGGACCCTTGTTTCCTTGCACTAACTATTCAGGAAGTCTTTGGAGACTGATTTAAGTGGATGTCTGAAGTTATACGGTTTGAATACTCTTCATTTTCATTGAGCACGTTCTATGTATTTAATTTGCAGTAACACTCTGTAAGTTACTCCATCATGTCACTCAGTAGTTCCATTTTTGGAGGTAAGCCCCAAACCAAATTTTAGGTGGACAGAACTTCTCTGTAAGCTTTGAAGAGTGAATTGAACCACTGTCTAAATAGCTCTCCAATGGCGAGAGCACACAAGGCAAACAGATGGGCTGAAATTCAAGTTCCTGAGAGGATGTTTACAGGTCTGTCTGCCAAAAGCACAGGTGAGGAGCTGCATGTAGCAAAGGGTGGAGAAAGCCTGGCTGAGTTAGAGCCAAAGCAGCAAGGGAAGCTGTTCATGACTGCTAAAACTGCGGACAGCTCTCATTTATCCTGTAAAGAATTATCCGAGTTTTGGAGTAACCAAATGGACTCCGTTTGTTTTTCACTCTGCTGGTATCTATATAACCAGTTTTACATTTTTGTTTTCTACTTCATGGTTACACTTTTGTCAGCGTAAGTCTATCTCATCCCCATTTCTGTGTGTGTTGAAGACCTAACTGTTCTTTCCACCAGTAAATTTTAAAAGAATTTGTGGAAGCTTTACCTTCTTCCATCTCACTAGTTCTAAACAAATAACAGGAACATTTCATTGTTTTATGTTCCATAAGGGATCTAAGTTATCCGTAGCTAAAATATGGGGTTTATGCATTTGGGAGAGCTAGCTGCCTATGGTGGAACTTTTTTGTCCATTAAAATCATTTCAATTTTTGTTCTTGAAGTAGGAACATTTTTTTCCCTAGGGAAGAACTGTAATCTAAGGAAATAGGGAGTTAATTTTTCAATGAACAATCTTATGCTCTACAAATTGTTGTTTTGCCATATTGTTTTGCATTTCTGACACTTGTTATGTAGTAAAGAGATGTGTTCAGATGTGAAAAAAAGAAAGTTAGATTTAATCATATTAGACCAGATCTCGAAAAGTTTACTGCAGAATTTTTGTGTTCTAAAAGTTCTGCTTTCTTTTTAATACTTTTGTTAGTGTTACTGCTAATCTTCAATTGAAGAGAGCCAAATATCCTGTCCACTTATCTAAATGATACAACAAGAACAACGAAGTCAAATTAGCAAAATAATTGCTTACTATTTATTTAAATTATTTAAATGCAGAATTTGACTAGCTTACTGAACAGGTAAAAAATTGCACTCTAGAATTGAGAAAGGGGAAAAAAACAAATGACATATTTGCACTGTAATACACCACATAAAATCTTTGAACCTGTGAAAAGAGTGTTAACAATTGTGAACTGGCTAAATATCTCAACGTGCAGTTTCTGAGTAGAATATCTGCTAAGGGAATGAGCTGCACCATTCAGGTTAAAGGCCTGTTGAGAATCACAGCTGCCTATATATTAATGTGTCTTGTAATTAAGGCATGGAACAAATTCAAATCTGAAAGTAATTGGAAGTGTAATCATGAGGTGTTTATTCTTAGTTATTGCTGTTGAGTGGTTTGTCATTTTTAAAAAATGTTGTCTGTTTGTTTATTTATTTATTTAAGGGCATCCTTCTCCAGAACCTGGAAAAATCTGTGCAGCATTAAATCCTGGCAAAGTTGCCAAGTGGGAGAATTGGGAATGCAACCAGAAGCTCGGCTATATTTGTAAACGAGGAAATGCTACTTTAGCATCTTTCGTTGTTCCCACCGGTAGGCTTGGTGGCAATCCCCTAACAAATTATTAATGGCATCAAATTGAGAAAAGATAATGTCTGTGCAAAATGTGACTTGACCAAGATTCCTTGTAAAAGTGAACATTGTGTACTTCCTCTTTACTCTGGTCTCCTTACTTCCTGTGTAATATAACTGAGTTCTCTTTCCAAAAGCAAACAAAACTTTCATTTTTTGTATGTGGAATAAAAAGCTAAATTATTTTATGCTTAAAAAATTGTGTAATTAAAAGCCCATGTTCTCATTGGAACTAATCTATCTCTCTGGCTGTCATTTTTTGCTACTTATGAAATGAAGTAAGTTTAACAGTGCAAATTAATAGTAAACTTAAAGAATTTTTAAAAATTAGATTTAAAGATTTGTTTAAAAACTATGTATGTAACTAAGTATGAATTTGTATTTTTTATATACCTAAACTATTTGGCTTAATTACAAAATTCTTTAGATTAAATACATGCAGACGCTTTTTTAGAAGAAATATAATTTGGGCACTTACTTAAGGTACACAGGAAAGAGAAATCAGGGATAAGTTTTCATAGCTTTATTTAGACTTATTTCCTTATTGTATCTCTTTGTACCATAATTTACACTGTGGCTTTTTCCTTTGTTTCAACACTCTTTCCTTCTGTTATCCCTTGTTTCCAAGTTTATTCCTCTTTCTAGCTTGTACAGGTATCTCCCAAATTCACTGACATTATTTTGGACAGCGTTTAGAAGCAGAAATCCAAATTGCTACCATATTTCCAGTCCATTTTTTAATATACATTATTGGAAGATCAGATGTCAAATGATGAGTTTCCAGAAAGCCTGACTTGAAAAATATGTTTTTTAATGTTGTTTCTGCTGTTGCCAGCATATAGCCAGCTCAGTGATATCAAAAAACTTGAAACAGTGTCTTCTGCCTAACTTGTTTCTCTTTAAGAAAAACAAGTGAGCAAGTGTATTAATTAACATTGATTTCAATATTTGGTTATTAAATATACTTCAGTTTTGAAATTAAGTGTATTTATTGTCCAAGTTGGAAATGACACTAGTTCTTATTTTAACACCTTTCTGAATTAAAATGCCAATAGCTGTTAGTATTTCTATACTTCTGACAGCCAAAATCTTTATTTAGGTTGAAGTAGATTGTTCCATGGGCTGCTACTCAGCTTTTCATAAACATATCTTTAAACACTGATGCTTGTAAATAAATCACTGATTCAGTGCTGCCTATTATCTTATCTAGTTTTAGATTCAATCTTAATTTGGAGCTAATGGCTATTTCTTTCTTATACATCAGGTTTTTGATTTCCTGCCTCACCCCTCCCATACTGAAGTGAATCATAATTTGCAGGAAGAACAGAAATGAGGCATAAGTTTTCAATTGTACAGAAATTGCTGAGTAAACGTGATGACAGATTAAACAGAGATTGGCAGTGGTTCACCTCATAAAATATTTTCCAAAGTGTCCTAAGGGAGGAAGTCATAAAAGGAATAAGCATGCGATCATGCAAGGTGTTAAGTGCCCTCAATTTCTAATGATGTAAAGGAAAACTCATGGCAGATGATGTTTTCCTGACCAGGGCTCCAGTGTCAAAATATAAATTAATTGCAAATTCATGCATGCAATTAAGTTGTGCACTCACTACTAAATGCAGTGGCAATCTTTTAATATTTCAACTCTCGAAACTCTAGTTTAAGTTGAAAAGAGCACTATATAAGGATTGTGAGAGAGGACACTTTATAACAGAATGTAATCATGTATCTATAACAAAGTAGAGAAAAATCATTACAGATTCTTTATTTTTGCAGCATTTGAAGATTTTCAGGAGCTCAGCAGCTGTGTGGACTTCCTTCACGACATTTTTTTTTTTTCCAGCAGGGGGCCACATTATTATATGTCTTTAAGTCATTTAGATTTTAGGGCTTCAAAGCAGTTAATTTGTGATACAGCAAAATGAATCAATAAGAATCCATTAATTTCACTTGCAAAATATGCTTATTTTTAAACTTAATTTTCTAAGGAAAAGCTGGCTGGCTGCTTACCTCCACCAGGTGACTGCCAAAATAGTTTTCATCCCAGTTTGACAACATAAAGTATTGAGTTTCTGAATATTTCATAAGCTCCCGTATCTGATTGGAGAATTAAATACACTTAATTTAACTGTTACAAAGGCTGTGTAAGCTCTCTCTTATCAGCAACTAAGAATGAATGTGTGAGAGAGAAATGTTAATTCCCTAATCATGAGAATCATTCAGCTAGTATTTTTACCTTTGTAGACACCCAAGTCAATAACTGGGAGACCTTCAGACTTCAGGAAGCCAAGTTTATAGTCTGTGGAACTATTTGGTCTTTTTAAGTCTATGCTTCATTTTTGTGTGTTGAACTATTCCACAGTATTCATCAACTTGACATTTGAGATAATGTTTTTTTATTCTTTAACGTGATTCCCACTGTTAGATATTACTTGCTTTAATATGTCCTGCTTATTTTATTTAAGTCAGATGAAGTTCAGGATTTAGTACTTGTTTTCTTTAGGATGAAAAGTAGATCACAGGGCTCTGTGTTGTGTGTTTTCTTTAGAAGAAGAGGGAAGCACAGAGTTAATTTTTGCTGACAGCTAGAAATGAACAACTTGAGGCTTTGTCCTACTGAGAAGTTCCCAGCTATGTCATTCAATAAAATGTGCTCCAAAGAAATTAGACTGTCAACTACTTCTCCAGTTTTTCTGCCTTCAACAAATTCCTTAATGTTACTGAATTTACAACCAAAATAGATTCCCTGCCAGCCGTAGTTGATTTAGTGTTGAGAGTAATGTTCATGCAGTCTCCTTCAGTCTGAAAGAGAGATTCTTAAAAAGCCACAGGGGAATAAAGACCTGTGTGTTTGTCTTTGTAGTGAAGTCTGAACTGATATTATCTGTTCTATTTGGTTTACTGTTTCCAAAAGGGTGCATTGTGTGAGTTTGTTAAAGATGCATGTAAGTCTAGCTTTTTTTTTTTCAGAGCTGCTCTCTGACTGCTTGCTGTAGCAAAGTACTGTAAGATGTAACATGCTCAGAGCTAACCCCAGGCACAGTAGGAATCAGGTAGCTGCCTAAAGCATGATACCTCTACATGCATTTGTCATCTGTTCCATTTATCTGAACAGCCCCACATACCATTAGTTTGTCTTTCCAGCATCTCTATCTACCCTTATTCTTTCCTTCTGTGGTAGGATTGACAGGGCTCTGACCATACACAGGGATCCTCGTCCCTGGGATGGCAGAGTTCTGTTTTACTTTCTGATAACCTCCTGGCATTTTTTTGAGGTGGGTCTGCAGGCAAAAAAAGTATGTTTATAGCTGTGCTTTGACTGGTGTTCTGTGTTCTGACGCTAAATAACTACTAATTGTCAGCATCAGGGCAAGTATTTGCAAACTTGCCCTGACTAATCATGGCTTTGGATGACTAGTTAAATGTTTTCATGAAATATGCACCACTGTCATACAGAAACACATTGCTTCTTGTTCTCTGACATACGTAAGTTTATTTTCCCAACAGAATTTCTGCAAGCTTGCTGTTCCTGTTCTGCTCTCTATATTGGTGTTTGCTAAACTCTCTAATAATTATAAATTCTTTTTATTATACAGTTGGATGACACTTCTTCCAAGGCTGAATTGTTTGCTGAACAGCAATGTGGTTGTTGGCAGTATTCTGTTACTGTTCTGATGAATTCCTAAAAGCAATCTTTAAGCACAATAATTTACTTTGATAGAATAATTTTCTCAATTGTGCTTTTAAAAAGTATTCCTAAAAGCAGTATTTGCATTTTGGATTCTTGCATGATCCTGTAGAATCACTTTTTTTTTTTTTTAATCTAGAAAATGCAGCTAGTCCATAAAGTGCTTAAAGTCTAGTGGAAAAAAATTGCCTTCATATATAAGTTCTGTAAGCCCAGTTTTTTATCCTGTACCTAAGCGTCACTGAGAATGAAAAGGAATGCTGGCATGAAATGCAGAAAAATAACAGAGCACAACTCTTTAGATTTCACAATTTAATATGCGTGTGTGTGTAAAGGTCAAAAGTGTGTTTTTGCAGTTAAATTCTTTCCATCTTTTCACAAGTTGCAAGCACTTGTTTGCAACTGTATTGCTCTTAAAAATATCTGGGGATTTTAACTTTTAATCATACTTGCCCATGATGATCTTTTTAGATATTTTTCAACCCTGCTACTCTTGAGGGTGAAAACAAACAATTTGTTTGTTAAGTCTTTGCTTATGTAATTTTAAATCTTTTATTAAGAATAGAATTATGAAGTTCTTCGTTTTTCTTTTCAGAGACTGATGTGCCTATTAGATGTCCTGACCAATGGATATCATATGCTGGTCACTGTTACATAATTCACAGGAACCCCAAAATATGGAAAGATGCCTTAACATCTTGCAGAAAGGAGGATGGGGATCTGGCTAGCATCCATAATGTTGAAGAGTACAGCTTTGTTATTTCTCAGCTTGGGTACCGTGAGTATTTTATTTATTTATGTATTTTTGCAGTAATATATCACTTATACTAAGAAAATATGAAGTTTAAGAGAAAAGGAGGAGGCTGTTTAAAAAATACAAATAAAATTAACAATATCCTCATCACAAGTTGCAGAAGGAGTTAAATTCTAAACTTCAAATGTTGGGAAAAAAGGCCAATAGAATTAAAACTACATGGACTATGCTGTCATGAAAAAGCTGTGATCAATGTTGTGAACTGCATCAAACTGCATCCTTTCTCAGGGTCTGCTTTTTACTTCTTTTGGCCATTTGTAATGTTTTCAGAAGCTGGAAGAATTTTTACTTTCACTCTGCAAAGATAGCTGAGAGGAAACAATATTTGTTGGTCAGAAAACTTGTGGAAATTATGGATCCTATTACTGCCATGTCCATGTTTTTCAAGTCATGAAATAAGAAGCTGTCTGTCCCAGTATGTGTGTTCAGAGGTGCCCCTGAAATGGGGTACTTCAGTGTTCACATACTCAAGTTCTTGCATGTCAAGAATGGCTACAGATGACCTTAGGTGAGATATTCCTTATGTGAGAAGCAACCATGCTGATGCTGAGGCCATTTTGTAGTTGTGCTGCTTTCCATGTAAATTATTTTACATTTAGTATCAGATACTGCTATTCGATGGGTGAGACATGTTTACAGCCATGTTTACTTCATTGCAGTAACTAATTCTGTATGTGCTTTTAGTGCCCTGTCAGGTAGCTTATTTCGCTGAAAGGGCAGCAAGCTGTCTTGAGTTGCTGTGTAATGGCAGGAATAGCAATCTCAAAATAGCAGATCTGCTTTAGTTATGTATCCTGTCCAACTCCATTGCAACTCGTTTGTTCTTACAATTGTAAAATCATAGGATATCCCAGGTTGAAAGGAACCCACAAGTGTTATCGAGTCCAACTCCACATAGAAATACCTAAAAATTAAGACATATATCTGAGAGTGTTGTCCAAATTGTTCTTGAACTCTGGATTCTGTTCCAGTGCCTGACAAGCCCCTGGTGGAAAACCTTTTCCACATTTCCATCCTGACCATCCCCTGATGCAGCTCTATGCCACAGTCATTGCTTCTACCAGGGAGCAGAGTTCAGTGCTGCCCCTCCACTCCCCTGTGAGGAGCTGCAGCTGCCATGGGGCCTTCCTTGAGCCTCCTCTGCTCTGGGCTGACCAAACCCGGGGACCTCAGCTGCTCCTTATATGCCTTATCTCATAGACCCTTCCCTGTCTTTCCAATCCTTTGTTTGGACCTTTGTTTTATGACCTTCTTCTATTTTGGCACCCCAATCTGCATGCAGCACCAGCCAGAGCAGAGCATGGCATAGGGCACAGTAAGAGTGATACATTGTTTTGTGAATTATGCAAAACTTTTATTCTTTGAAAAGAGATGATTAAGAAAGGCAAGACCTCTGAATGAGGCATTAGGACATTTGAAAGAATTTGAAGGAGATTAGATGCATAGATGCATTTTCGACTCGTTCCTTGGAAGTAGGTTGTTTCAGAGGTTATTACCTTTTCCAAAGGCCTTTTCTGGACTGATTACATTGCACACTGTTTTTTTTTTTTTTTTAAAGTGAATATTTCTGAAAGTCATATAGTTCTGAAGGAAACCAGATTTCTCACAGATGGTACAAATACTGCAACAGACTATTTAGAAAGTAATCTTTTCAGAGGAGGAAAATTGAAACTGCTGAAGATGCCTTTTAAGGCATTTGTCTCTCAGTATCAGATTGTCATTTCTCACCCCTGTGATGAGAGCACTGTGTACTGCAGTGCCTCAATAATCTTGCCTAGATCAGAACTCTGCTGCAATAAGTGCTGTGCAAACAGAGAAAAAGCCCATCTTTGCGCCAGACAATTCACAGTCTAGTGATAAGACTGAGCAATAAGGGATAAGTATGAGATAAGTATGGTCACAGTAGCAAAACTTCTTCAGTTTTGGCATAATTGACAAGGGAGAACTTCAGAGAAGAACATGAAGAATAAAAAAGGAATGTATTGTGCATATTTACATGAAAATGCAGAATCTGATGTTGCACAAACATGGCTCAGAGCATGTCTGAGAGAGGGGGAAATAGATAGTTGATAAAGTGGTTGTGGAAAAACTCGGTGTTTAGTTGCACAGATTTCGAGGTCACCAAACTCTGTGCCAGGATTTCTTCTACAGAGAGGAGAAAATGTTAACTAGCAAGGGGCTCCGCTAATCTTTGTCCTTTTCTGATTTGCACAGTGTATTTTTGTGTTATGGAATGCTGTTTATTGTAATACTGTATTACCATGGTATGAGCCCACACTAGGATCTCTTGCCATCGAGGAGGCTTCTGCTGTGTTGGTTGCTAAATGGAATCTTGTGTCCTCCGAGTCTGAGTATTAGGGGAGGGTTGGTAAGGACAGTGTGGATGAGCTATAAGGGCTCATACTCAGATATAATAAAGATGGCAAAGGAAATGGAGGGGAAAAAGGAAGGATAGAGATGACTATTCAAGTGGCAAGCTGGAAAGTGATTTTTCTAGGAGCTTGATTTGTCAGAATGGGATGCCTCCATCTTTCTGTAGCTAGCAGATGGCAGAAATGTCACAGGAAAGTTTTAAGTTGCTGAGGTGTCGATTAAAATCTGAAATGTGTAAATCAAAAAGAAGGAGATGACTTTTTACAGGGAAGCAACAGAAGAGAAACAGTTTCAGTTTCTGTTTGATGAACTCTTAAGCAGCTGATGTCTTTTTGGGTGGACACAAGATTCCATTTTTACATTTCATGAGCAATTCTGTTGTCAAGTTGACCATGATCAGTATGGGTAAAGAATGTTAAGAGAAAAATTGTTCAAGAAGGGAAAACTGTGAGAACAAACTGTGAACACGAAAGATGTCTGAGTATTGTTAATTCAAAATACAGTTCTATTATGCCACCACTAATGATGGAATTAAATACATTTTATGACTCTCGTAATAAATTCCAATTGCAGTTAACAAAGATACAAAACCAGTACTACAAAGGAATGCCCTTTGATGATGATTAAGTTCAATCATTATCAATGCCCAATTTTTAATCTCCCATAGGATTTTATTCGGAAGTTTTTTTGCAGAGGAACATTATAGTAGCAATATGGTGGAGACTTTTAAGCACAGGTGAATAGACTTCTAAGAAACAGCAGCAGTGAAGTAAAATGCTTGATTAATCCTACACTTTACTTCCAAAAGAAAATTTACTCCGCAGTGGACTGACAAAAAGTGAAACAGCAACAGGAATTGCATATTGCTGTAAAATTAAACAAAGTATAGAAACAGATGATGGGACAACTTGCAAGTGTGTTTGCTGACTGTCAGCTTTAAGAGACATGCTGGGTGTCTGAGCATTAGAAGAGTTGGTATTTCTACTTTCTTTACTGCCCTAGAGGTGAAAGAGGAGTTAGGATTTTATTTAGGTGGTTGGTTGTATCTTGTTACTAATTTTATGCAAGTGTTTTAAGCTGGAAAAGGAGAACAAGTCAGACTATGCTGCAACATAATTCAATACAGAGAGCAAGTTTGTGCTTTTGTATGAAGCTAAACACTGCTATTGTACTGCCACTAGAGTGAGTGGCTTTTTCTGAAGACTGGAGTGGGTACATGGAGAATGCTATGCCCTCTATATGAAATAGGGAGCCTTAATTTTCTGTGACTTCCTTTTAGCCTTCCTGAGAGTAAGATCCTATAAATAACATCATGTATAAGGACTGTTATCAATCATGTTTTAGAGCCAGATGATGAACTTTGGATTGGGTTGAATGACCTCAAGGTTCAGATGTATTTTGAATGGAGTGATGGGACACCTGTCACCTATGCCAAGTGGCTTCGTGGAGAACCCACTCATGCAAACAATAGGCAGGAGGACTGCGTTGTTATGAAGGGAAAGGTAAAGTCATGTTTTACTATTGACTTAATTTTATTTATTTATTTATTTATTTTGCTGCTTCCTTGGGAAACAAACAAGTGATGGCTTTCCTTTAAGTTAAATCCCCTCCTTCCCCCCCCCCCCCCCCCCCCCCCCCCCCAAGGTCCAGAGATTTCCGTATGCACATGTGGACTTTGGAAGAAATTTTTAATTACACTGCAAAGCACATGAACATCTAAATGCTTTTCTTTAGGAATCTACATTTTGATTTAGATATGTTTGAATTTTTCTTTCTGCTTTGAATCTTTATGAGATATATAGCTATCTTAAGAAATTGCACTAGCAGTTTTTATCGATGATAGAGGGAAAGAAGAAGAGAGAAACCCCTGTTTTCTTATTCTAGACAAAGTTATAAAATTTGGGTCTTGGGTCTAGGTCTGTTACACATTATGTTTGTGTCTGCTCTGCACATGAAAAGCTGTGAGGAAAGTGTTTAGCAGTGGCATTAGTGTAAGCCTTTGTGTGCTGGTCCTACTTGCTGATACCTACAATTGCAAGGCTGTTTTGAAAAGTCTTCTTTTGGATTATAACAATTATATACTATCAATACTGAGATAATCTGAATCGTAGGGTCAGTAAAGTTGGAAAAGACCTCTAATATCATCAGGTCCAAAGAAACAAACCATCCCCACTATGCCCACGAAGCCATGTCCCTCAATGCCACATCTCCATGGTTCACTTGGTATAAAAGTCAGTGTGTAATGTTGCAGAATAATACTTTTCCTATTTGTGATAAAATGTGTAAAAATACAGGATTTACCATCTCCTTGATAATTTATCTATTTTATCAGGAAGAAAAAGAACATTTACCCCTTTCTGCTGCATTAAGAATTCAGAAGGCTACAGAAACTACACCTGCAGTTAGATGTGTCTGGAATGTTAGGGTTTGCTATGTATTTTAGTGGAAAAAAAAAATGCAGTGATTAGAAGCATGGATGAGATTGTAATCTTTTTTGAAGTTTTTCTCCATTGCAGGAGTGGTCAAGTTCTGGTGAGAAGTGTGCAAATACATATTTTTTCCATGGCAACCAGGCCATAGTGTGCATAATTACTGAGTAAGCAGATTTTTAAAGGCAAAAAGTTGTTGTGTTTTAATGTCCTTTTTGGGCAGCCCCTATGACAGTGCTAGATGAGGTTGTAGTAAATGCTTTGTCTGTATTATGGAATAAGAAAGTCAGGCATGGGAAGGTAGCTGGATGCTTAAACATCAGAGTGCCAGAGTGCAACACTGGAACCTGCAAAGAGTTCAGTTGTGAGGTGGCAAGAATAGTTATGTATATAGTTACAGATGAGTACTGTGGCATGTGATTTTTTTTCTTCCTTTTTTTTTTTTTTTTATATGCAGAGATACTGGTAGAAGATTAAGTAAGTTTACAAATGGGATATCACATCTGGTTGGGTATTAAAATAAAATTCAATGGCCAGGATCACAAAGCATTAATATTTGACTTTGCTGGTTATGATGATGATGTATGCTAAAATGATGACGTGCTAGAAGTGGCAACATTCAGTGCAGCCAGAGAACCCTTGATCATTGCTCAGAAGTTTCTTATGGAAAGTTGGCATGCATAATACTATAAATAAGAACCAACCAAAAATACCAGTTCAAGGCTGCAGAAGCTTGGCATTGTAGTGACAGGACAAAGTATAATGGTTTTAAACTAAGAGACTAGATTTAAATTAGATTTATTAGGAAATTCTTTATAACATGGGTGGTGAGGCAGGGAACAGGCTGCCCAGAGAAGCTGTGGATGCCCCATCTGTGGAAGTGCTCGAAGCTTGGTTGGATGGGGCCCTGGTCAGGGGGATCAGAAGAAAATAGTCTTGAATGTCCTTTCCAACCCGAAACATTCTATGATCCCCTTTCCTCCTGTATGATTACTGAATTAGTAGTTTTTGTAAAGATGATGTATTGCTGTCACCTCAAAGTGTCCACTTTTCAGCAGCATAGTAATCAAAAAGGTGTACAGCAATGTTGAATCACTCTCAGCAGGAGAAGTCAGACTGAGGTTGAAATTCTGTACTGAAGTTACGTGTAGGTTTTCCTTCCTTAAAAGCTAGAAAAAAAAAAGTCCTTAAATACTTAAATGTAGAGCGCATCTTTGAAACCTAAATCCCACTTGACTATGATATTCTGTTCTTATATTTAGAATGGATTTTGGGCGGACCATTCTTGTGAAAAGAAAAATGGCTACATCTGTAAAAGGAAGCCCCTGTCAGAAGCACCTACAGAAGAGGAAACTATTGGCATGGGCTGCCAGAGAGTAAGTGAAGAAAAAATTGTTGAAGTTGAATTGGCTGCTAGGTAGGATTAAGAAGAGATGGCTCCTGAATGGATCTCATTTTTATGGCAGATGGGACGGGTGGTACAGATGAATAAAACCAGACTCTCACTCTCGATGTTCCCTTTATTTTTCTAAAACTTGAAAGTGTACAAATCTCAAATGAGTAGCTCTTGAGTAGGCTATTTTTCCTTGATTGGAGTTTAGACCTTCATAAGAAATTTTTCTTCACCAGCAGTTGCTCTTCAGCTCTGTCTACAATTTTCTTTGTTACTGTTCATGGCAATAAGAATGTGTTTGTCTTCATGATATTCTCAAGGCTTTGTTTAGGTGTTAGGCCATGCTCCCTACTTTGAAAAATTTGTTACAAGTTCCTAAACAAACTATATCCACTGTGCTCCGTCTGAACTGCCGCTGAATTTATTCCTTGTTGGATAGTCTTGTTGGTGAGAAACTGAAGAATATTAAGAGAAAATTTGCATAAATTGTTTGCTGTACCCAGTCACTATTCCTCTGAAAGCATATTCCTGAGATAATGACATTTGGATGACAACACATTAGAAGAGAGGGTTAGTGTTATTTAATAATCTATGAACTTGTTTGATATGTCGCTACCAGTCTAAAAGGACAAGGTTAAATTTGCTTTCCATGAGCAGTTCTCATGCTTGCACACCTATGTGCCAGGCAGAGTACCGAAAGCACACAATGAAAACCTGTCGTATCTTTTTATAAGTGGAAATCACTGATTAAAAAATCATTATAAATCAGGACTTTAAAAAAGCTTTCTGCTTGCTTCTTTCCACTCTGCCTTTTGCAGTTCAATTGTTCCTTTGTCTAATGGTTAGCTGACAGTGTCATGAGTCTTTTTCTTTCTTTGTCTTTTACATTTATGTTTAATATATTCTTATAGGAACTCTATGAACGTTGTAGCACATTTGATCACTTAATGCTTATTTTGACAGGGCTGGAAAAGGCATGGTTTTTATTGTTACTTCATTGGGAATACATTTGTAACGTTTTCTCAAGCAAATCAAACCTGTGAAAGGCATCAAGCGTATTTAGCGACTGTTCAAGACAGGTAAGTGAAAACTGCTTGCGTTAGGGGCCATATGAGAATTTAGCATCTAATATTATCTGAATGTCAAAATAAAGATTTTGATATGGATGAAAATCTTGCTTGGGAGGACAGCTATATAAACATACAAAACTTGTAAAAGATTTTGCGTACATATTCAAATCTATGAATTCAGTTCATAGTAAAAATAATCAATGGATATGAAATGATTTTTTGCTATTGAAAGCCAAGGAAAACATAGAGTTTTGTTTTTCTTTAATTATAGTGGTTTGAGGATAGGTTTACTTGAGTGTAGGAATAAGAGTACAGAATTCAATTTTAATTATCAAATGAAGAGATTTAAGTCAATTCCACTTGAAAGGTAGCTGAAATGAGGAAGAGGAGCTCAATGTCAAATATCAGTTATTTTCAGAATTGAACTACTTACTCAAAGTTTAAATAAGAATCTAAATGAGGATAGAAGTACTTGGTACTTTAAAACATCATAATTCCATGAGGGTTCAATGTGCACTAAGTTTCTGAGCAGCTGATACACATTATTGAATACAGCATATTCCGAAAATGTAAGAGTTAAGAAATAAAGGCTGTGTGCCTGCAGTGCCTTACACTTTCTCTGATTTCTTTCATTATAATTTAAATAGGTATGTTCCAGTGTGAAAACTGTTTCATGGATAGTAACCCTCGAAATGCAGGTAGAACTGCAGCTGTGATAAAAATAGTTAAATAATGTGGTCTTTGGACTACACCTTGTTACGAGAGAGACTTTTTTTTTACATTAGCTCTGATGTTACAAAGGCTTTTTATTTAAACACAGTAATGAACTATGACAGCTTTACCTCTGAGTAGGTTTGTTTCCCAAACATAAAAGTTCATGTATGATCACTGGATCTAATTTGCAGTTTTCCTTAGTTTAACAGGTTATTATCATCATCATACTTCAGCCTTTACTTTAGTGTATTTCTGTAGTAGTGCTGAGGCCTTTTGTGGTTTTTGGATTTGCCTGTAACAAGAAGTCATTAAAGTAGAAGGGTACCAAAAAATCTTTGAAATACAGTGATATTACAATTAAGTCCTGTCATGTTCCTTCATTTCCATATCCTCTCCAATTTCATATCAATTCACCATTATACCACTTCCTATACTGGACATCAGAAGAGAAGACAGAATACTTCGGTATTCAAGCTTACGAACTAAATATTATGTTTTATTATTTGGTTTGTTCATGTAAATCCCTCCATGTCATACTTTTAAGAAAGTACAAAGGTAGTTGTGAGGAAAAAAAAACTATAGCTTTTAAAAATTAATCCAGTGGTATTAATTTAACAGTTGTATTCTTTTGAACAGATATGAACAAGCCTATCTGACTAGCCTGGTTGGGCTGAAAACAGAAAGATACTTTTGGATTGGACTTTCAGATGTAGAAGAAAAGGGAACTTTCAAGTGGGCTAATGGCGAATATGTCTTATTTACACACTGGAATTCTGAAATGCCTGGTAGCTATGACTCTATGCTGTCTGAGTACGGTGCCCAGAATATATCACTCACCAATTGCATTTTTTATTTCAGTCCTTAGCCCCTGTCTAATGGTATAATGACCAATTGCTCTCAGATATATCTGGCTGCTCTCTCAAGCATGCCGTGCTGGTGCTAACTTGCTGCATGGTGCTTAACTGAGGTTTTTAACCTGAGTGTGAAAGAAACTGTAAAGTGCTGTCAAATTTCTGATTTACCATCATTCTGCATGTTCTAGATCATTTCTAGATCATTCTCTTCAGACATACTGTGCCTTGCTCGAAAATCCTGCCTGTTCAGCTGTATCTCATAGTGCATTTCCTAAGTGCATGTTTTGAGTTGTGGGAAATCACAACATACGTAAAACATCTCTGGTCTTAGAGAAAACAAGGTTGTAGGAAAGATTAAGAGGAAGCATTTAGTTTTTTTCACTTAATATCTTTTCTAGATGAATTGTGTATATGTGTATATATGGGAAACCTTTTCACGTCTGTCATGGTCACATCGGAAAGAAGATGGTCTCCTGCCTTCAAGATTCTGATGTGTTATATCAGGCTTTTGGGAGACTGTCTGATCCTCTTCAATTGCAGTGTCTTAAATTCTGATTTAAATGTGTCACATGGAGTGGTAAGGCTGTGTAGACTAAGATGGCAGCAGGCCTATATATAGCGAGCTCATTTTATTAAATTATAGTCAAATCAGACAAATTTGGGAAAACCGCTCTTATCGTGTCTTCAGTTTTAGGGAAGAATTGGTTGAATTGCACGATGGTGCTACAGTCAGCCATTGGAAGTTGATGTGATTTGATGTAAAGCACAATTGAGTATCTGAGATATAGGTGAAGCACTTTTTTTTTGCATTTTTCTCCATGAGTTAGAAAAATTTTTGACTCTGTATAAGCAAATATTTCAATTTCTAACAGGATAGAATATGAAGTTTTCTAAAGTTCTCAGTGACCCCCTGAAATGTTGCTTTTATGTGTTCCTGTTTTCAACCAGGAAGAAAGCCAGGCTGTGTTGCCATGAGAACTGGAACTGCAGGTGGATTATGGGATGTAATAAAATGTGAGGAAAAGGCAAAATTCCTATGCAAAATGTGGGCAGAGGGAGTGACGCCTCCACCTGTTCCTACAACAACTCCTGTTCCCAGTTGTCCAGAGGGTTGGGACTCAAACAATCGTATTAGCTTTTGTTTCAAAGTAAGTTTATTGCTTAGTTCTCAATTAAGGTAGTTTCTATTTGGTACACTTACATGCAATAAAAATTAGTGTACAATAGTCTTACTGTTTCATCAGCTTATTCAAGGATTATATGTTCAGGTCCTGTCCCCTTTTATTGAAGTATTTGTCATTTTCTTTGCTTTTTTAAAGTCTGATCTTGAGGTCTGATTTCCTGAGCTTGATTTTTCATCCTTGTTCTATTAAAAGTGTCTTTCTCCTGCCAGTTTGCAGCAGTTATTGCTGTCAGCAATGCAGTCTGCCAGCTTGCCTCAAAAATGCTCATATGAAACCTGTTTTTCAAACAGATGAACACTAACTGATCTTACAATGTAATTTTCTATAATATCCATAGAATAAGTTAATTTTAAGTGAATTGGTTTTGAATATCTTGATCATGTAATCTATTCATGGTCTATTATACCTGATGGTAAAATATGATGTCTCTTTAGCCTTTTTCAAAAGGAGAGCAAAAGAAAACATGGCTTGAATCTCAAGAGTTTTGTCGAACTATAGGAGGAGATCTGGCCTCCATCAATGGTAAAGAAGAGCAGTATGTGATCTGGCGTTCTATTGCGTGAGTATCTGTTGTGTGGTCATTTATTCACTTTAATTATCCTTTCGATCTTTCTGAAATATTTCATTTTGAAATTACTACAGATGACAATTTGTTTAACATAGGCAAATGTACAAATAGGAAAACTGTCAAGATATAAATCTAGTCAGTGTTTTGGTTCATAATTTTAAGAACTAATCAGAAAAGAGCCAACTTCAGATTCTTTTTTTTTTTTTTTCCTACACAGGGTATGTAAATAAAGTTAGTAGATCCTTGAATTGTAATAAGAAAGTGAGAGATTTCTGAATGTGATCAAATACTGTTAAAAAGATAACACTTGTAATATGGCATGAGTAGATGGAGCTCAATGAACATATGTACCTGTCTAACTGGAAAGCAAGACTGAAACCTGGCAGACTTGCAAAATGCAGCAGACCTTCAAGTAAGGAAGAAGTCTCAAATGCTGCATTACTATGTATTGGTTCAGTAAATTCTGATTAATCAGTAAAGCGTATCTGCTTGAAGACAACAATTAGTTAAGATGCTATTTTTTAATGTGATTCTGCTGCAGCAAGTAATTTTGTGTTTGGAAATACTACACGCCTTTAAAGAGAAAACAGAAAGAGTAGGACTGGACTGTTGTAGAAAAGTAGTAAGACTTCTTATTAGATGTTCAGGAGTTGGATTGGATCTGGACACTTTCTGTGTTAGACAGTGTTACAAACTGACTTGAGTTAATGTGTAGTGCTAAAAGCTAGAAATTGTTGAATTTTAATAGTTGTCCTCTCCACTTATTATTTCTTAGAGCTTTAAGGATTATTTGTATAGAGGCTTATGAATTGCTGTGATTGCTAGGTTATAAAAAATACTGTAATGCCCTTACTAGTTTTGTTTTTATGTTTAAGCTCTTTATAAAATGAATATTTATTACTTTTCTTCTTTTGTTTTGTTTAGAAACAATGGTTTTTACCACCAGCATTTCTGGATGGGCTTATATTACCTGAATCCTGATGATGGCTTTGTCTGGAGTGATGGATCTCCGGTCAGTGGTTTAATTCTTCACAGCTCTTATTTTTCATTCCTTGAGTTTCTTAAGTGCGTGGTGTAAATGTCTGTACAGTTTTATGTTTAACTGTAACACTCTGCTCTGTCATGTTCACTTTAGGAATCTTATGACTAGCAATTTCATGGCTGAATTTTATGTCTAAATCATACTGATTTTTTTAATAAGAAAATGTGTATTTAAATCAACGAGAAAATTGAATTCATGGAGATTAAAAAAAATATGTTCTTATGAATGAAAGTTTGTTTTAAAATAAAATAATCCATCGTTAGTATTTCTGTTCTTTTCAAATTAGATCTTGATCTGAAGTGGCCTACATTCACTGGAGCTGAAGGCAATTGTGACTTGTCTGTACTTTAGACTAAGATATTAAACTGTAGAAGCAAAAGTGGTTCTGCAGGTGTGGGTGTATTTAATATGAAGTTGGTAAAATATATAGATAGATAACTAAAAGTCTACATAAAAAAAACTGAAATTAGAATTGAAACAGGAAAATTAGAGTAGAAGTAATATTTAGTAGAAAAATGCCAACATTTCTCTGTATTGTTTCTCTGTAATGTCCTATTATTTTACTCTAAGAGGATATTTACTTAATTTATCAACATGTGGCATTCACCATCATTGTCATTAGATGAATTTCATAGAATTTATGTCCTTAAAAAATCAATATTCTTCCAAGTGTAATAAGAAACAACAGTTACTTAAATTGTGGTCCAATTGCAATCTGATAACAAATCTGAAATGTCTGTATTGGCAGGGGGAAGCTGTTTTTCTCTTACCTCAGTTTTTCTACTGACAGTATAAACAGATCTTATGCCTGTGTTTTGATACTGTCTCTTCCTTTTCTTCATTATTATTGTACTGTATTACAGGATCCTCACAAAACCTTTTCTATCATAGGTGAGGTATGAGAACTGGGGCTTTGGGGAACCCAATAATTACCAAGGAATTGAACTCTGTGCAGAGATAAGTGGTGATTCAAGCATGCTTTGGAATGACAGGCACTGTGATTATCTATATGGATGGATCTGTCAGATAAGAAAAGGTACTGTTGCTTCCTTCTTTGTTTTGTGAGAATAAGAAAAGAATCTCAGTTCTTTGGGTTTTTTTTTTCCCTTAACTTTAAAAACAAAAAAATTAAAAACCCGTTTACCATAACAGTTCTCTGTGAAAGCTGAAATGTGAAAGAATTTACCCATCCTTGATGCATTTAAAGATACAGAGACAATGGTGCCCTGCTGGGGTTTCTCGCTCTTCTTTCTCTATGATTTCAGAAAGATAAACGTGATTCCTCAAAACTAGGAGATGTTACTTTGAGTATTCACATTCACTTCTTATTTCATGCTTTTTTCAGTAAATGCAACTTTTTTTTTTCTCCGAGTTGAGCTTCAACTTGTAAGAAAATAGTTCACAATATTTGAAGTTTTGTGTGTGAAAACTCTCTCTTCAGTTTGGCATATATATACTATTTGATAAACTAATGTAATCTATAATTGCAAGATGTAACCTGATTTGGGGATAATTTGTTTTGCATTGACTAGGTTTTACATTCATTTAGTTGTTTATCACAAACTACTCTTGAATTCTAAGTTTGTTATCTGAAAACATCAAGTCAAAATTATTTTGGGAAATTTTGAGTTCCACAAACAAGTGCTTAGTTAAGCTTTTTGCCACAGCCATATGTTGGGAGGGCAAGGAGCAAAACAAGGATGCCTCATTTGTAATTATCAGATTGTTGACAGTAAGCTACCAAATCTACTGTGTGTTGGTAAAAGGATTACTTGGGCATTGAATTTTTTACTAAATGCCAATATAAATGAGATTATTTATAGTACAAACAAAATTGATAAACCTGTGGAGAGATGTCCTGTTTTAGAAATTGTTTTTCTGTGATAATAATGTTGTCATATGAATCTATCTCTGTTATGCCATAACCAAACCAAACAGGGATATACTGTAGCCTGAAATATTATTTTTAGAATAGACCAGTTAATTTCCTGGGAGTGCATATTTTCCAGTGAAATTGTCTCTGTGGAGATTTTTTAAAATCTCAGTGTAAGCTCTTTCTGTTCTGAGAGAACAACCTGGTCGATGAAAAGCTGGACATGAGCCAGCTTTGCAGCCTGGAAGGCCAACTGTATCCTGAGTTGCTTCGAAAGGGAGGTGGCAGCAAAGTGAGGGAATTGATTGTCCCCCTCTGCTCTGCTCTTGTGAGGCCCCATTTGGAGTATTGCATCCAGGCCTGGGGTCCCCAGTGCAAGGAGGACAGAACTGTTGGAGCAGGACAAGAGGAGAGTCAAGAAAATGATCAGAGGGGCTGGAGCACCTCTCCTGTGAAGAAAGGTTGAGGGAACTGAGCTTGTTCAGCCTGGAGAAGAGAGAGCTCCAGGGAGATCTCATGGCAGCCTTCCAGTATTTAAAAGGAGCTTATAAACAGGAGGGAGACAGACCTTTTACACAGTCTGACAGTGACAGGACAAGGATGGATGGTTTTAAACTGAAAGAGGGGATATTTAGATTAGATATTAGGAGGAAATTTTTTAATCAGAAGGTGATGAGGCACTGCAACAGGCTGCCCAGAGGAATTGTGCGTGCTCCATCCATGGAGAGGTGTTCAATGTTGGGGCTCTGGGCAGCCTGATCTGATTCACAGAATCACACGGAATCACAGAATGGCCAGGGTTGGAAGGGACCTCAACAGTCATGAATCTCCAACCCCCCTGCCACATGCAGGGCCACCAACCTTCCTACCTAATGCTGGACCAGGCTGCCCAGGGCCCCATCCAATCTGGCCATGAACACCTCCAGGGACGGGGCATCCACAACCTCTCTGGGCAGCCTGTTCCAGCACCTCACCACTCTCTCTGTAAAGAATTTCCCCCTGACATCCAACGTAAATCTCCCCTCCCTCAACTTCAAACCATTTCCCCTCGTCCTGCAGTTATCAACCCTTTCAAAGAGTTGATTCCCCTCCTGTTTGTAGGCTCCCTTTAGGTACTGAAAGGCTGCAATGAGGTCACCCCGCAGCCTTCTTTTCTCCAGACTGAACAAGCCCAGCTCCCTCAGCCTGTCCTCATAGAGGAGGTGCTCCAGTCCCCTGATCATCTTCGTGGCCCTCCTCTGGACCCTCTCCAACAGTTCCCTGTCTTTTTTGTACTGGGGGCTCCACACTTGGATGCAGTACTCCAGATGGGGCCTCACAAGAGCGGAGTAGAGGGGCATCACCTCCCTGTCCCTGCTGGCCACCCCTCTTTTGATTCATGGCAACACTACCCACAACAGGGGGTTTGAAGCTAGGTGATCTTTAAGGTCTCTTCAAACCTAAGCCGTTCTATGATTCCTGCTAAAACAGGTGGGAGAAACAGGACTGTCTTAATAGCAAGAATGCCTGAGACATAAGGTTTTTAGCATGTAGGGAATATTAAATACGATCGCTTAATTTAGGCAAATATCAGGGTATTATAAAGTGCCTTGCACATTAGGAATAGCTTCTATTTAGAGCATCAGGGTACAAGAGTTTTTATTTAGAACTGGCCAAAAATAAGAGATTTAGACCATTTAGTTCCTTCTAGTTTTTGGTATTAAATCCATGGCTAACATAAAATTCAGTGTTAAGTGGCATGCCTATTGGTCATGGTAAACGTTTTCTTACTGTCAGATTAAATTCTTTTTTCTTACAGGTGCAAGTTTAAAGCCTGAACCAACAGAATCTCCTGTACCCAGTAAGTGTTCTTGCTTTTGCTATTAGTGTATGTGTTTAAGCATGTTTTCAAAATTATACTAATGAGAATATCTTGTACCTTAGTAACAGTACAGTTAGCTTACTATTTATCTTGCAGAGTATGTGACTACTGAGGATGGATGGATTATAAATGAAGACAGACATTATTATTTCAGCACAGAGAGTGTTCCAATGGAAAAAGGTCGAGAGTTTTGCAAACAGAACTTCGGAGACCTTGCAGTCATTGAGAGTGAAACTGAAAGAAAGTTCCTCTGGCGATATGTAAGAAAAATTAATTAATACTATGCAATAATCATCCAGAGGAAATGAGCGCGTGCACAAGTCCTGTTCAGTCTGTTGTTCTCCTTACAAGTTTTATAACAGTGGAGTCAGTGAAACTGCAGTAACATTAAGCCAGATGAAAACGTATGATAAATCCGAGTTTGTTTTTCTTTTAGATTGCCTCTTATCAGAGACAGGGCCTTTGTGTATAGAAGTAAGTACAGTAAGCATTAAATAAATTCTTATTTGCTTTTAAATAATACCCTGTGGCAGTTAGACCACATTATCATAGGGTTATAGAATCATAGGATATCCCAAATTGGAAGGGTCCAACAAAGATCATTGATTCCATTATATCTATCTGCAACTGTTAATGTGTTAAGGTAAATCTTAATGCTTAGTTTTACTTAATTTTTGGCTTTGTTTTAGCAAGAAGCAATGTAATCTTGAGTTACAATTTGCTAGGGCAAGTGAGTTAACTGAAAGATGATGGATGAAACATTCGAAGTAGTGAATCAAAATAGGTATTGGCTTACAAACAACTCTCTGAACATTGGCTTTGGAATTTGTCGGTGTGTCTGAGATGTAGTCTGATGTAGCAACCTCTTTTTAGTCAAGGAGGCAGAAGGAAAACTTCTCCTATGAAACATAACTAGGGGTGAAGTACTTGAGTGGTAGACTATGAACAAAGAGGTTTTAGATGATGTTTCCTTGGTGACTGAAAGTTAGTTGCCTGATTACTGTTTTCAGACCACCTTCTTTAAGTCAGTAATCTAGAAGTCAGATTCGATCTACTTGAAACCTTTCCTGATCTTGCTGAAGGATGACAGTGAGTTGACACGAGCCTATATTGACATCCAAGTTGTAGGAGGGTTTGTTTCTTGCAGTGTTTGTAGATGATGTCTGCCATAGAGACTGTTCAAGAGTTCAGAATTTCACTGACTTTCAAGACTTTAAAAAGTGATAATATAGTAAACAAACTTTTTGGTGAAGTGGTGAAGTTTGACTGATGACTGTCAGCTGTGAGCTGCTTTAAGTTTGCTGTTTTAGCTGGAAAATATAGTAATTCATTCCTTGAGAATAAATAATATATTATTCATTATTAATGAATTTGTGATAAAAGAAGTGTATACAATATTAATTGTTCTAGATCTTGAAAAATGGCAAAGAGGAAGCATATTTCATTGGTTTGCAACTGAGTGTTGATCAAAGGACAAGGTAGGTGAATGTGAACCATCATGGTTGCATTTATTGAGCAGAGAAAAAAATTGTGAAGTGCTTGAATGAAATTGTATCCTTGTCAAAGTGCATGAAAATGTTATTTTTAATTGCAAAAGTGTATTCTGTCCTAAATTTGTCACAATTTTTCATCTGCATAGTAGAGTGATCAAGCATTTTGCTCGTGTTACAACTAAAATCTCTTACCTGTGTAACAGGTAAAGTGAATGTATGACTTGGGGAAAATGGTGAGCATATGTATTATCTCATTTTGAAATGATGTCCAACTTTCATGTCGGCCTGAATGGATATTTTGGGTATTGTAGAAGTGTCTGCTTATTGTGTAAATCAAAAGTAAGCACACATACTATGTTTATGCAAAGAGAATAGTTCTAATGCAATTAGCAGGGAGACAAACAAGTCAAAAAAGCTTGTACACATTAGACTGTGAATGGCTGTATTAAAGATACTGCAAAATGACTTTTTTTTTAATATGAAATCAATCCTACTTATATTAAAGAAGTGTTTTGTCGGATTATTTTTCTTAAGCTGGATGGATGGCACACCAGTGAATTATTTGGCATGGGCACCACATGAACCTAACTTTGCAAATAATGATGAAAACTGTGTAGTCATGTATAAAAATTTAGGTGAGTTCTGTATGTTTGCTCTTGAATTTCTTTATTTATGTGCTTGTGTCCCAAATATTTTCTTCTGAGAGGCACCCATTCTTTTTTTTATTTTTCCTTTGTTTGCTGTTGTATATTGTTGCAAAAGACCACAGTATTATAGTTATAGTTTGGACTTACTAACATTTCTCAGTTCCTATATTTATCTTAAATATAACATGGGGAAGCTCAGATAGAAGGTTTGTGGTTATGATTGCTATGCAACTGTTTTATATTTTTAAATGAAAATGGCTTACTGTGTCACTATAAAACTATACTACTTGTTTCTATGCTGCTTTCAGTGCTGATGACAGCATGTCTAAAGTGCCATATTTATCCTAGATTTTGTTATAGAATGATAATAAACTGAGGGACTTTGGATTTGATCTTTCAACTTTGTTTCAGAATGAGTGAAAATTATTTTGATCCAACTAATTCTGGATATGGCATCATACAATTCCCCTTTTTATCTCACATTTAGGATTTTGGAATGATATAAATTGTGGTTATCCAAATCCCTACATATGTGAAAGGCACAACAGTTCCATTAATTCCACAGTTCCTCCAACAACATTTTCAACTCCAAGAGGATGTAATCCAACTTGGCTTTCCTTTCAGAATAAGGTACTATAACAAAGGCAGAGCATGTTGGTTGTTTGGCAAGCATTAAATAAAAGGAAAGAAATTATTTAATAATGTTGTTTTGTATTGCAATAACATTGCTATTTTTTTTCAAGAGAGCTGGTTGATGTCTACGTGTTTTTCTTTGTTTGCCCATCCACTATTTTGCTTTTTGACACTTCAGTAGAAGTGATATTTAAATATATTTAGTTGCAGTTTCTGAAAGTCATTCTTTAGTCTTTTCTTCAAGCCTTTTTTAATGCATTTCTTGAAGAATTTAGATATAGTTCTTGAAGTATTGACACTTTGGTTATATATTTTAACCAAATTGTAATGTTCTTTCAGTCATTAATATATTTTGCCTTTCTTGACTTTAGAACTGTGAAAAGTTTTGTAGAGTCAAAAAAAAAAAAGAAAATACAAACAAACTAGTGGGTTAATATTGGTCTTGTATAGCTTATCAATATTAGTTGTCTGTCATTAGAAGTCAGGTTTTGCTTATTTTCTACCAATTTCAAATGAAATCTAGTATGCATCTTGTTTAGGAGAATGTTTTCTTGAAACTTTACATTTTACTTAGAGAATGGACCGAATGCAAAAGCTCTTTTTGAGCAGAACGTGTTTTGTCCCAGTTAAATCTGTTATTTCACCATATTTTCTCCTTCCTGCTTTGCTTGAAACAATGATGTTCAATCTGTAAGTGATGTTGGAGTAAAGGTAATAAATGGAGAATTTGTTCACGTTTTAGTGTTACAAAATATTTGGATCTACAGAAGATGAACGTGTCACTTGGCATGCTGCACGAACAGCTTGCATGAATTTAGGAGGAAACCTGGCTGCTATCCCTAATGAACAAGTGCAAGGTATGCAAATAGTTCTGTATCAACCAGATGAGATGATATTTAATTTTTACAGATGGTTGTGTTTGTGTAAAACATGGACAACGTTTGAATGATTTCTTTGCATCTGATCTTGGTTCCACAACATACAACACTTAGAAATTTACAGTGAAATTTGCACCTGAATCTACCAAATTCTACTGCTGGCTTAGAAATGCATGCATATTATCTTGGTGACCAAAGTAGTGCTTTTTCTGCCTGCACATGATGCCAGCTGGGCCCGGCAAGTTTCATTCAAAGTGATGTAGTTTCACTTGTTGGCGTTAACTCACTGCATGGCTTTCCATAGTAACTTAAGCAGAACACCTTTGGGATTAAAACTTGCTGTCTCTGGGCAGTTTGGGGCAATGGTTTGACTGATCATACACCTAGCCATTAGTCACTTCATAGTTGCATCATTCTTTTCACTAGAGAAGCTTGTTTTAATGGTTACAAGAATCGCATCGTTGACTGGGTAAATGGGCAGATGTCCCATGCTTGAATAAAAATGACACATTAAATTAGGAGAGATTTTGATAGATGTTAATAACATCTCTTTTTAGAAATATTGCTTTAAACTATACTGAGAAATAGATACTGCACGACGAGTACTATTTGTGAACTCAAAAGATCTGAAAAATTATACTTTGTAAAACAGTTGTACTTTGAGAAATTAACTAATTTAACTAGTTAATTAGCTAAAATGTTAGATTGCTAACATGAATTTAGCACTACTTAATTTTTTCCACACTTGAAGAGATGAGTCAAACTTCCACAAACTTATTGAGCATGACTAAATTCTTATCTAACATAAAACTACAGTTTCTCAGATGACTCATGCAGGGCTTGAATTCAGGGAAAGAATGAAATGACCAATAAAACTACAAGCATTAAACTATTGTTACTGCTGATAGTGTAGGTATAGAGACTCGAGTTCTTGTTACAATTTCTTGCAGAGCAGCAATGCTAACATTTGGCATAGAAATCTATAGGTCTTACGCTTGGGAATGTTGAGTTGCATTCATTTTAAAAGGCTGAAAGAAGGTGTGTAGGTAATAGAGTAGACAAATTTGCCTATTTTTAGAGAAGAATGAGCTCATAGTGTTGACTAGCAAGTGGCAAAAGGCATCATAATTTTATTTTAGCAATTTTATTTTAGCAGACTGGCTTACTGTGGTCTAGTGGGCTGATGAATGCCAGCTGACCTAGCCTGCTCTGTTTTTCATCTATCCATGGTAGCTAAGATGAACAAGCACCTCCTTGGAATTTGCAAAGCTGTGGTAATTGCTCTTCTGAGACTCATTTTAAAGCGTCTCTCTTGTGCATTCTGTTGCTTATTATGGCAGTGCAGGCCATAGAATCACAGAATCGTGGGGGTTGGAAGGGACCTCCAGAGATCATCGAGTCCAACCCCCCTGCCAAAGCAGGTTCCTTACAGCAGGTTCCCTACACCAGGTTTCCCCACTTTCTCCAGTGGGGAAACAGTTTTGCTATTATAAATGCAGCTGCACAAGTGGTTGGTGCTCAGTTGTGTTGTCTGTATGAAGCCACAATAACATAACCACTCTGGTGGGATTATCAAAAATGTATATAATCTACACCACTTCATATTTCTAAATCAGTTATAGAATTGGGATTCAAAAATATTTTGAGACCCTATAAAACTATTCCTATCGTGCTTTTGGAATTCATCCCACTACAAGGTTAGATGTTTAGCTGGAGTACGTTGCAACAGGTATGTATGTCGGTTATCTGTTAAACTCAAAAGTCACCTCCTTTTTTATCTTATCTATTTGTGTTGCCAGTAATAAACTGTTCTTTATTTCACTAAAATGCTTAATATCACCAGATGCCATTAATGACAATGAGGTCTGACTCTTAGGTCCAATCACCCTTCATGGAAAATATTTCTTGTTTTCTTTCTCTCTTTTTCTTTTCTTAATTATTATTTTCTTCACCTCTAGCTTTCCTCACCTTCCACGTGAAAGATTTTCTTACTGACACATGGATTGGATTAAATGATATAAATCATGAACTGAAGTTCCTCTGGACAGATGGAACAGGAGTTTACTTTACAAATTGGGCCAAAGGCTTCCCATCAGGACATATGGGATCATACTCATACGATGGCCAGGTAAATAGCAATCACAAACTGTCCTCTCATACGTGCTTTTAGATTATGCATTTAGGCATTTGCTGGGATTTGAAACATTAATGCTCAGTCTACTAGTTTCATATCTATAGAATTTTCTAGCAGCACTGACCTCACCATCCATAGTTGTTTTTCTTTTTTTTTCCCCAGAAACCTGGCATTTTTAACTATTACTTTAGATGTTATTCATGGTGTTACATATTGCACTGATAAAATGATTACTTACAAACCTTTCACATCACATACAAATCCAGTAAGTTGCTGTGTTAGCTGTTGACGGGTGCTCAGTGCTGTAGTGCTTATGTAAAGATTGCTTCCAGATTTCATTTCTATATGTCCTTGAAGGCTCCAGAGCACCTGTATTTGCCCTCCTTTTCTCAGGCTTTGCTAAAAAAGACAGTGAGATTGCCACCTTGTGACACTGTCCAAATAGCGTGCTGAATAAACACATCTTCCTTGTCCTCTGACCATTGCAGTGCCTTGAATGTAGGTGGAATGTAGGAGATTTCTCAGTTGGTGTGTAGCTTGCAATATTTAGTTACAGAAAAACTTTCCCTGTTGTACATGCGAGCAAATTTTGTCAGTCACATTTGTAGGAAGGACATAGCTTTGTAAAAAGCTAGGCATTCAAGTTTCATGAAAAAAAAAAAAACTTCCCCTATTTTGCTGTCATACAAACTGATTTCATAGGTCATAGAATCCCTCTTGCTAATCTTATGTGATTTACATAGTTCTCAATTACAGTATTAGCTGTATTTCTCTTGATTGAAATTCTCACCACAGAAATCTTAGTTTTATGTATAATGTTCTTTTCCTGTTTTTGAAAGTATCACCTCTGAGCTTTGTATCCTTATTAGGAAAAACGTTTGAGAATATGAAGTTCAAAATAGAAAGCACGTATAATATGTTACTTTTGGAATGAGCAATACATTTTTTTTTCTTTTAATGAGAAGTATTAGGATTTCTGTGAAGTCACCTGTGAAAAATTTTAGTCTCTATTTTATAAATTTCAAATTTATTTTTACTTGACCTCAGCAAAAAGAAAGAACATATCATAGTTTATACAAAGTACTTTGCAACTTTTCAATTGGAGGTATTTAAATGTTAGTGTATTTCACTTAACTACTGAAGTTTTTCTCTGTATAGCTTTAGCTGGATAGCAAAATTAACTAAGAAAATAATGCATTAGTCACTCTTTGTATAATATGTGCTAACAAAGTTTCTAGATATTGTGTCCCTGTAGTAGAATTTGAAATTTCACTGTAAAGGTGAGACCTACAGACCAATGGCTGCCTTTGAGTAGCAGCTGTCCTGAGTTTTGCTGTGTCTAGTATTATAGCTTGCAATAAGAAATTTTAAGGGACTAATATTTCAGAAATGTTACATTGTCCATTGAAGTTCCTGTTTGTTTTTTTTTGTTTGTTTTTTTCTTGAACAAAATTAATCTTTTCTACAGTAGTTGATTTAATTTCTCTTTAAATTGTCTGTGGCTTTCCTTTTCTTCATGCTGTATGCCTAGAGATGGGAGGGTCCAGAAATTTCTTGTCTGCCTATTCACCACAAGGTTGCTCAAGATAGAGCAACATTAAGAAACTCGTGAAGTGCAAGAGGAACAGAAACTCCACATCATTAAAAACTTATGAAGATATGAGAATAAAATTAGAATGTTATTTCTGTATGAAGACATCAATGAGAGACCAAAGTTTCTTATTTACATTTTCTAGTTGTTTGTAACTGATTTTGTATCTTCTTGCCCCAAGGCTGATTGTGTTGTCATGAGAAATAATCCTGTTAAGGAAGCAGGGAAGTGGGCTGATGAGAGTTGTGATAACAACAGAGGATATATATGCCAAATTAAAGCAGGTATTGCTGTTTTCTTTTAAAGTATAATCAGAGCTTATGAGTATGCAGGATCTTGCTGGGGTGTTATGTGCTGGATTTCAACATGTTTTCACTCTTAATAAAGATACGTCAACAAATTGTTTTTCAGTCAAGAACACCATTCAGACCAAAGGTCCACTAAAAGACTACTCCCAGCTGACCCCTCCTAGTAAATGCTGTGTTACTAACTTCCTGAGCTGGAATTTATATCTAAGTATTTGTGTTTAGTATGAAATTTCACTCATAGGGTGGTACCTGGAGATCAACATCTGCTTTTCAGCAGTAGCAGCTCTAATTTTGCTGTGTGCATATTACAGCTTAAAACAATGCATTTCAAGAAACAGATATAACAGAAATATATCCGAATGATAATTGTTCTGTGATTATTGTCTGTCATTTTCTGAGCATGTTTAGAATGTATTCTGGGGAATACTGAATTTTACAAGCTGCATGAACTATCTAGAGTGTGAATGCAACTCATTCACAATGAACTTGAGCTGATTTACCTCCAAAAGGAAACTAAAAACAGTGAAAACCTGAATTTAAATATCAGATTGATTTGTAAGTGCTGGTCTGTTTTATAGTTTACATTTTCTCTGTCAAAAAGATCTCTTGAAGACAACAGGCGAAGCACTTGTGTTGATGAAAAGTTGTGTTGTACTCTATTCCCAATTCATTTAAGTTATTATTCCCAATTTAAGTAATACTATTCTGAACGATTATACGGAATGCTCCTTTAGTCTTTGTCATGAGTTGCTTTAAACAGCTCTTTTCCTTTTGACAGCCCTGTAATTGATTTTTACTACAGAGTCTGGCCTAAAGAATAGCACATTCAATCCATGCTGGTTGGCGAATGTAAAATCTAGAAAAGAGACAGGTTGCTGTATCTTATTTACATTTGAAATCAAATCATAATCACTAGTATTGTGGTACTATGTTGAACTAGTATATGAGCCTTTTTTTCTTCCTTTATTACACAGATGCTGAGTTTCTCCCTTCTACAACTACAGACCCAACAAGCATTATCCGTTATGGGAACAGTAGTTATTTGTTCATCCATACCAAAATGAATTGGGAAGATGCACGAGAAAACTGCAAACGCGATCAGTTTGACCTTTCCAGCATCTTAGACCCCTACAGTCATTCATTCCTGTGGCTAAAGATATTAAAGTATGGGGTGCCTATATGGATTGGTCTTAACAGTAATGTGGTAAGAGCATCAAATTAATTGAGTATGCTGTTGCTTTTCTTATGGAAAAATCAGCAAATGCAAAGTCATATTATATCTTTATTTTTAACTTATTAATTTATATCTTGGTCCTAGATACTTTTTATACTGTCAGATCTACAGGTAGAGATCTGTAGTCTTCCATTACTCTTCCTAAATTGTATACAGCATATTATTTTAGCACTTTTTCTGTGATATTAAACTCTATGCATTTCCAAATAATACATTCCAGGCTAGCATTTTGAATTATCTCTTTGTAGAGAGTGTATAGTGTTTATTTTGAGATAAAATCCATGTATTTTAAGATGTACAGTGAAAATCATTTATTCTAAGGTAACATTGGTTCTGTTACAGTCACTCTTCCAACGTTTTGATGATAGTTACCCAAAGTATTAAATAACTGGTTTATCTTATTTTATTTGTCTGTCCTCTCCCATTTCTTTGATATTTAGGTACATTCTTATGTTAAAATATGTCTTCTTTTCTGCTTGGCAAAGGCACTTATCCTGCATTCCCTCAGTTTGGCTTAACAAGAAAATAAAAGGAAATAAAAACTAGTGGGCATAATATACCATTTCTTAAATAATAAAATGTTCTTCATACTTAATAAACTAAATTATTCAATTGTTTTCACAAGCATAGGTAGGAGATAAATTGTTTTTTAATGTACTTTAACTTAAAATATTCTTCTTGAAGCCCAAGGGGAAAAAAAAATTACTCTTCCCACTTCACTCCTAAAAACTATTTTAAGTGAAATTATTAGAACATTCAAGTTAACAGTTTTGTTAAGCTTAGAATTCATTCAGTGTCACTTACTCTGCACTTCTTTTTGCTAAAAATCATTTTTTGCCCTAAATGAAAACTTCTTGCACAGGCATCTTCATAACAGACATTTGACTGACAGAAATGGTTAATACTTAATTCCTGGGGTTTCATTTTCAGACGAATGGACGTTATGAGTGGATTGATAACTGGAGAATGAAGTATACTAAGTGGGCTGAAGGGGAGCCAAAGCAAAAAATAGGCTGTGTTTATCTAGACATTTCTGGATCCTGGAAGACGGGATCCTGCAATGAAAGTTACTTCTCTGTTTGCAAAAAACCTGATGGTAAGAACTGGAATCTAACTATTGCAATTGTATTGATTGTCTAGTGAGAGTTCACAATCCATATGACCAACCTCATATGGCCCCTAATTTAGCTGTGATGGTAAAGAGTAGAGATAAAAATGTGTTAAAGCATAACAGTGTGCTTGGGTTCTTTGATAAATTAGATTTCTCAAGGCTGCGATTGAAGTACTTTTTTTTTTCATAGATTGAGGATGTTTTACCATTGTGTTGCAGTAAGCAGTACAGACTGTCAAGTTAACATTTTGTTAAATACTTGAATAAGTTTTCTAATGTTCTGTTAGAATAGTCTGTTCATGATAAAAGAATGTATAAGACAGTGTGTTTGTAAATTTTTTCCTTTCCCTTTCCTTCTTTTTATTTTTAACAGTTCAAGCTCCTACTGAGCCACCTCAGCTTCCAGGAAAGTGTCCTGAATCAGAAGGACACCGTTCTTGGATTCCTTTCCGAGGTCACTGTTACTATGTAGAATCTTCATCAACAAGGAACTGGGCTCAGGCATCATTAGAATGTCTTCGACTGGGTAAGTATCGTCAGTTAAAGAGCTCACCTTTTGGACTTTTTTCTCTCTGTGGAAAGCTGAACAAGCAATCTACATTTTGTGATTTCAAGGATGATGTAAGTCTTGGACAGTTAAATCTAATTATTACCTTGATTTTGGAGGAGATGGAGAATAGCTGTCTACCACTGGTACATGCTGCCATTTATGTCTACCGGCATTAGAAGAGCTATGTAGCCTGGAGTGGAGATCAATAAAGAGGAAACTTTGGCCCTGCTAGGAGATAGTCAGCCTCATCACTAAATAGCAATTGCTAAATCTTGGTTTAGTGGGATTGTTTATCATTTGCATATCTGATATGATTTGCACTTTGATTATTCCTGTTTTAAGTCCTGATAGTTTAATTTCCTACTTATATTGTGGTGCCTAAGCCCACGCCCAATGCCCAAGTTAAGCCTGCACCATTGTACAGCAGAGTGGGATAGTCACTTCCTTGGTTAGCTTGCTATTCTCTGCACGATATGCTCTACGATGTGGTTGGCCCTTTTGGCTGTCAGGGCATGCAGTTGACTCATATTCAACTTGCCATTTACTTGCCTTGATGTCTTTCATGCTTGGACACTGGTGCTGAGGCTGTTGTGTAGTGGCCCTAGAACAGAACTGTACAGGATGGTGTACCTTTCTCTGAGTCCATAATTTGGGTTCTTCCCCTTGCTCCTCTGGGCTTGGGAAAAGTGGTCTTTGGTGGGCTGATAGCTTCTTTGATTAGTCAGAAGTAGCCAACGAATGGTACTGCTTGGGGTACCACCTCTGCTAATGTCTCTCTGTGTTGAGGATGTGTAGAGAAGTTTTTTCATGACAAACGTAACAGTAACAAAATATCTGAATCATTCTGCAAAAGAGGAAGAAGTAGAAAAACATGAAGACTACAGTGAAAAAAGAGGAACATTCCATGTTCTTCTATATTTTGCTGTCCCTACTTGCACTCTATTTTTTGTTTGCAGTTGGACATTTTCCAATTATATCTCATCCATAATAGAATTTGGAACCATAATAGAATTTATTTCTAGCTCAACAGTACTCCCCATTTCTTTCATATTTTCATTCTTTTTAATTCTACCTTCCTTACCTGAGAAAAATACCTTCAAATATTCAATAGCCCAATCAAAGCAACTGTTGTAGTATTGACTGGATTGTAGGCTCACACAGAAGAGAGCTGAAGATGGTCTTTATTTAGTGTTTAATGACATTCCAAACAAGGTTACATAGTTCATTCTCTCTGCAGGCACACTGCAAACTCCATGCTGTGGTATCTTGACTTTGCTACAGCATCAAACAGAATGAATCATTATGGCAGAATGCCTAGTGTTGTATGTGAATGACTAACAGGATATCTACCACGCTAGCTGGGCAACAGATAACCAGCATGACTTTCCTTTCTCTAATGACTGCAGCGAGAATATAGGAAAATAAACAAGACCTAGTTGAAGAGTTTCAGTGATGATTGTGCTTCAGAAAGCACAAGTATGCTATGTAGATCTATATAAAGGCTTGGAGAATACTTAATCATCAATATGTGAACTTAAATTGTGCACAGACTGAAGATACAGCTACCTTTTACTTTAATCTTGCGATTTTTGTGTAGAGAAGTTTTAATATTAAAACATGAGTAGAAATTATTACTGCATAACATATTGGCTTGTATTTTTCCCAGTGATGAGAAAATAGTGCTAGTGCAATGCCTTGGAAATGATAAGAAATACATCAACAAAAATACACGAGTTCTTCATGTGATATTATCAAGTTAGTTTTTGTTCTGAATTTCAAAATCTACTTGTAACTTGGCACAGATAATCAGTGCCAAGAGGCACTGATTGACAATGAGAGTGCCTTGCACTGTAAGACTTCCAGATCTTTGTTCTCTTTGGATCTTGCAGGTGCCTCTTTGGTATCAGTTGAAGACTCAGCTGAAGCCAGCTTTCTGACATACATAATTGAACCACTTGAAGGGAAGACATCAACATTTTGGACTGGAATGTACAGAAATGTAGATGGTAATTTCTTTACTTTTGCCATTATTTTTTTATGAATAATTGCCATAAACTGTTTGATATAGGTGTTAATATATATATATATAATATAAAATTACACTTCTCTGATACATTTCAAGAGAAATTAGGAAAGGTAATAGGGAAAGCTAGTAATCAAGTAGATTTCTCAAGAAGGCAATAAACGCAGAGCAGAAAATGAATACTATCTTATTTTTGAATCTGTTCAATATTTTCCCACTTAGGAGAATGGCTGTGGCTAGACAACACTGTGGTGAATTTTGTCAACTGGAATACCGGAGAACCTTCCCCTCAACAAAATGAGCACTGTGTTGAAATGTATGCAAACTCTGGATACTGGAATAATATCTATTGCACTTCCTACAAAGGCTATGTTTGTAAAAAGCTAAAAAGTAAGTGCTACGTTTATATTTTTTTTAATATAAGGAGTATTCTTGTTGTGTGCTAGTATTAGTAGATGACTTTTACATGCAGTGCATTTTAGCTGAGCATTTTGTGTTTTTATAAATAAGAAGAGAATGAGAGAACGACATTTGCATACCAACAGAAAGAAAGAATAACTCTTGTTGGAAAGTAGAAGGGCTGATTAGCATTTAGATCCCTTTGAATTGTTTTGAAAATATTCTGTTTTTATCTCAACTGTTCCTAGTGTGTGCCCTTTACCAGTCTGCCTGTCCTGTGTTGACAGTTGTTCAGTTATCATGTTGTTAATGTTCTTTGCACACACAAATTAATTTATTTGAAAATATATTCCTCAGATAATCCCCTTTTTAGCACAGGGGGGATACCCTTTGCTCGTTTCCATCTGGCAGGCTCATATGTGTGTTATTTCCCAGTGTAAAGCAGTTCTTCTGTTAATTGATTATTTTTGAATTGTGAATTAACAATCAATTTTGATATTTTATCTCCATGTTTTGCTGTTTTGAGAAGGTAAATGAAAATTAAGGCAAATAGCATAGTTCATATGTAATAAACTATAATGTTCCTGAAATAACAGAAAGTGCAAATCTGACACATTTAGGGCATATGTTTTCCTAAAACTCATACCAATCATTTCTTCCAGCTTAAATTGCAATATTTACAACCTCTTACTAATATTTACTGAGGAGAACAAATTACACTTAGTGGCTGAGCTGTTCACTTCCCTAAAATACTGGAAATGAGAGAAATTCTGCTGTCCTTTCTAAGAATTTGCTTTCATGCTGTATTTTCAGGACTTACTCAGATACAGTAATGGTGACTGTATCTTTCACAGGAAATACTGTAGAACTGTTGGGCTTAGCCATCCATTCAGAATTTGTCTTTTTACATTGTGACTGGAAAATGAAAAGACAATTTATTTTCATTCTTTAACTAAAATAGTCATAGAGGCAGATAACAAATGTTGCAATTAATGGCCATCCCTTTGTTTTCAACCATTCATGTATCTTCTTTTTACTGACACTGTTATTCACCTGTTCTGATACTAAACCAATTCAGAGAGTTGAAACAGGTGAAAAACAGTTATGATTAGCTTCAACCAGTCTAGCTTCCTGAGCTGGAATGTTATCGAGTCAGTGCAATGCCAGTGTAAATGCAAGGACTACGTAGTTGCTCACTGAGGGAGAGGTCTCATTTGAGTCTTACGCTGCTGTAGTAATGTAGCTTAGGTCAGCAGAATTTTGCAAAACAGTGGTAGTGCTGAATGGAGTGTTAGAAGCATCATTTTACTTCGTTTCTTTTACAGTGTCTTGCTATGTTTGCTGCTTTCTGAAAAGGTTGCAAATGCAAAACTGTGACTGAAATTTTCCTGTAAAATAGATGCTATTTGCTGTTCCACTTGCTAAAGTAGAAATTATCTTAGTAACTTGAAATTCTGGAGCTGGTCTATTACATAAATAATCTAACTTAATTTTGTAAATAAGTAGGTAGTCTAAACAACAATTCATCAGTTCTACAGGTGCTAGTGGATTGGACTTCTAAATAGTGGCTAGGAATACTATGTTCATGGCATTTCACTATAACTTGTCAGAGAATCACAGAATCGTAGTGGTTGGGAGGGGTCTCTGGAGATAATCTAGTACAACTTTCTGCCAAAGGCAGGTTCCTACAGGAGGTTGCACAGGAAAGTGTCCAGGCAGGTCTTGAATATCTCCAGAGAAGGCAACTCCACTGCCTCTCCGGGCAGCCTGCTCCAGTGTTCTGTAACTCTCAAGTAAAGAACTTTTTCCTCATGGAACTTGCTGTGGTCCAGTTTGTACCCATTACCCCTTGCCCTATCACTGGAAAGAGCCTGTCCCCATCCTCTTGATGCTTGTCCTTCAGATTTACAAGCATTGATTAGATACTCTCGTAGACTTCTCAAGGCTGAACAGTGCCAACTCTCAGCTTTTCCTCATAAGGGAGATGCTCCAGAACCCTCGTCATCTTTGAAGCTCTTCAGTGCTCTCTCTCTAGAAGTTTCCTGTCTTTCTTGGACTGCAGAGCCCAGAACTGAACACAGTACATGCTAAGACACTTTAGAGTTCAGGAATAGACTTATTGTCTGTGAAGGCAAGCTCTCTCTTAGCAAAACAAATATATTCGCTATTTATATGTAGAATGATGAGTACTACAAGGATTTATAATTGCATTCAGGATCATGTTTGAGCATGCCTGTCCTAAAGAAGCTGTATAGTTTTTCTTGTGCTTTTACACTGGTGTGGGAATCTGCCTCCATAGTGTTCATTGGTGTTCAATTTGGTATATTTATTCTGCTAGTTTATGTAAATTCATACATGAGAGACCACAGCACCATAGACCATTGTGCTTTGACTTTTGATATATGTGTAGAGCTTTGTGTGAGATTTGTATTACTGTATATTTTTCTGAATATGATTTTCACTGTGATTCTTCAAATCACATAATTTTAATATAAAATAAAGAAAAAAGTAATAATAATGTAATTCTTTTTCAATGTTTCAAAATACCAGCAACTGAAATACTGCCATCAGCTGAAATGCCACCAGCTGAAATGCCTACAAAGGGTAAGGATACTTGCTTGTTTTCTTTTAGGTAAACAAAAATGTATCCAATGGAAGATTATTTAAAATAATAATAATAATAAAAATCATATTCTATATCATGTATCCTACATTTTCTGTAGGATTTTCTACATATTCCTACATTTTCTGAGTACTTGTGTGTTTCCTAGGAGCACATTATTTCCTAGTAGAAAGTGATATACTCCATTGAGTATCTGAACAAAACTTTAAAATAAAAATGTGTGATATGAAATGCAGCTAGCCTTTTAAAATCAACTTACTGTTTATATTTGTTTTTAGCAATGACGAAGGATGAGGAGGCCCCTTCTCTAAGCCATGGTAAAACAGGAATTGTAGTTATTGTTGTCATCATCATCCTTGCTGGAAGCAGCCTTGCTGGCTATCTCTTCTACAGAAGAAGAAAGAATCGCTTGTCAACAAATGACAGCTTTGAGAACAATTTGTATTTTAATAGTGATGGAACTGGAGACACAAAGGATCTTGTGACCAACATAGAACGGAATGAACATGCAACACTATAGTATAATAAAATTAATGTAATATGTAATGTAATACGTAATGTAATGTGCCTTGTTTTAATAAAATTATGCAACTACAGTTGCATATTTTCTCAGTGCAAATACTGTATTAGCCAGTTTTACTGTGTGCATAATATTGCGTACAGCATTATGTTTATTTCATAACCATCTTGTGTAAGATTTCACATCTCATGATCTTAGGGAAAAAGATAATGCTAATTATTAAATGGAACAATAGAAATGGATGCAGTAAACAAAGTGGAATTTAGGTAGATTCATTTAAGCTGTCAAGATTTGAAATTTCTGCACCAAATTCAGTTCAGACCATGTAGTGATACACAGAATCTTCAAGCTATTCAACAAACATCTCTAATTCTGCCAGCTCTCAAGTACTCCCAATGGCATAACTACAGTGATAGTTGCTAAGTAACAAACCTGTGTTTAGACATCCTCATTGAACCAAGAATCTGAAAAAATCCTTTCATAGCAAAATTCCAATTCCTGTGATTTCACACAATGTGGAGAACCAAGTATTTAGCTCTCGTTGCTTATCTCTTGTAAGATTTGATTGGGTAAAAATGGGAGGCAGGCCTTTGAAATGGAAAAAGCTTGGTTGGCTGGAGTTCTTGCTGGCTACAAGTGGACTTTTCTGGGAGAGACAATGAAGTTAACAGCAAAATTTCCTTCTTATCAGAACAGTTACTGAGGGAGTGGGGGAACATTACCAGTATGCATTCTGAAGGCTTGTAGGAGCAATGTGTTTTGATAATCACATGTTGCTTTTTTATACCCTCACAATCAATGACATAGATTTGTGAGGTGTTTGCTGGAAGTCAGGAAAAATTTTGTCTTAACCAATGTATCCATTAGTACCGACTTTGTTTCCTTTCAGAAATGGCTAGATCAGTTACCATTTACATAATTCTTAAATTTCCAAATGTGGGGTTTATATTTCTAATTTTTCCAAATCTTATAAAAAACAAATCATATGTGATTTTTCATTCACACATAAAGGTGTATGATATTTGATTTTGTGGTTTCAGATTTGTTCTGTGAAATAAACAGTGGCTAGCTTTGATTTTTAAATGGTTTTGCATTGTATAGTCTTGCCTGTGTAAGGCTGTAATAGGATAAACTTAAATAGAAGAAGAGACAATCCTGGAGATATTCTAATCTGAACTGTGATCAAATAACAACTGTATTTTCCTGTATCTATGCACGGATTATATGCTTAAAACCAAGTCAAAAATGCCAGCTTAATGATCTGGATTTTATATTTTTGTAGTGAAGACGGGGAAATCTGTTCTGGAGTCCCTTTTCTCTTTCTGCCCATCTCCTTTTCTAATAACAATAGCAGATATATCTTCTATTTTCTTTTTTAACACACATTTGTTCAAGCTTGTCATTTTGAGGATTATTACTTAATGGTTCTTCATCCCAGCTGGTGTGGTTTACAAACCAGAAACTTCCTGTTCAACTTCGATTAGTGATGTTAAAGATGATGATATTTCAACAATATTGTTGAAACAGAAAGAAACATATGTGAAAGGGGCAGAGAAATGCTGAGAGGTTGTGATTGGAATCCTAGCTTTTGTTTTTGCACAACAGCCAGTGCAAAAACAAATTAGTGCATTCTCTGTCGAAAAGAAGTTTAGTCCTGTTCTGAGGCCCTTCACAATCCTGAAGATCTCAAATCACAGCGAATGATTCTTCTGGACAACATTTTGTCATGCGTATGTGTGCCAGTGCATTAGTGGAAAGAAAACAAAGATTGAAGAGATGTCTCATTTCCTTGTACTCTGTCATACTTTGTAGGTACATCTCTGCAGCTGAAGTCTGACTGGGAGAGAACCCAGCTTCTGGAGCCTGGCTTATTCTGAATTCATTTATTCATTCTTAGCTGAATGCCACTTAATAGCTAGCATTAGGTGTAGCTACTTCTGTGTAATGCTGTTTCCTTTCTACTCTAAGACATGTAAGATTTTCGGAGGAATATGATATTTAAGCTGCATGCTTTACTGTCCTTCCAATTGCAATACAATGGGATTGGAGCAAATCTCCCATGAGAAAGAGCAAACATGAAAGCAGTGGCATTTATAGCACAGAACATCACTTAAGTTCCATTTAGTTAGCTTAAGATGAACATTGATACGCTAGATATGATGTATACAGTAATGACAATTTGACAATTTTTCAATTTTTGAATGGAAAGCAGGGAAAACAACTTGATTATTTTAAACAATATCTAATTAACATAAGATGAAATGGACTTGTGACCATTTCAATTTCCTTTTTTTTTTTTCCTCCTTTCACATAGTTCCCGTTAGACTGAATGCAGAGCACAAAGTTTTTAAAATCATAATTTCTTTGGTCATATAAATCTTCAAGAAAGGTTGAGTAGTTCTCAAGAGAATGTGGAAAGAGAAATACCTTGTTATTTCAGTCTAACCAGGACTGAGCTGGATTGCAGTGGTTCAATTGAACATTGTTTGGTGATCTGGCAACGTGTCCTCCTTTCCTGCTGCTAAGCTATCATATTCCTGACAAGCAACTAAATGCTTAGAAAAGTTTCCAAGATTGGGCTTGGTAAACTGTTCGTGTTGCTTCATATGCATGAGTAAAATCAGTACATCTTATTGTCATGTCACCATTTCTTTCAGCTGTTCTTTGCTACAGGCGGTTATTCCTTATGGAAGCTGTCTTCTCTCCTAAGCATCCTTATTGCTTTTTGCTCTCTTATTTTGTGTCCTGAGTAGATCCTGCTACTTGGGTCTTGCTTTTCTGAAATATTCTTGCTATTAAAAAAAAAAAAAAAAAAAAGAAACAAACAAAAGTCTTGATTGAAAAGATGAAAAAGAAAGGATGGATAGAGAAGCAAAAGAGACTTTTTAGTGACAATTCATTTCCATAACCCTCTGATTCTGCTGAGCTTTCTTACATTTCATCTTGGTGGTTTAGGGAGATAAATGAAAAAATAGAGATGATGTATCTTGAAAATATAGCATGAAAATGCCAGGTGCTTTTTGTTGCTCTTTCAATACATTCTGAACCTATCTACAGAAATGTAAAGCTCGTTCCCTCTGTTTGTTAGTATAGAGCATTTCTACTAAGATTTTCAGTTTTGGCATTAAAAAAATCCTTTTTCTGAATTGGAAGCTTTGTGATTTTGCTCTATATATGAGGATTCTGATTAGAAATCTTACACCAAACAGGATAAATGATCACCTTTTATTTTATTTATTTATTTTTTTTTCCCAGATATTTATAATGATGCTTTTTGAAAATGAATTGTTTAACTTTAGGGACACATCTTGTAGAACCTGCATGGACTCACCCATTCATTTCTGTGGTAGTAACTGGAGAATGACTTGATGGTAATTGTTGATAGCGTGTAAAAGTTTGCCTTGCCTCTTTGCATCCTGCTACATTTCTTGTGCTTTGTTTCTGTTTCCCCTTTTTTGCAGAAGAGTTCTGACTTCAGAGAGAAGATGGTGAATCTGCACAGTGTAACTTCCTGCCTGGGAGCAGAGATTGCCAAAGGAACAACGCTGACTCAACACAAAACTCAGTGCTGCTTTTCTGAGTGGAGTGTCTCTCTGCTGTCTTCTGATCTTCTTTCTCACTTTTTGGGCTGTGACAGGCTCTTCTCAGACAACCATGGTGGTGAAACTGACCTTAGTAACTTTTTTCAGCTTCTCTCAGCAGATAATTGATAACAATCCTTCATTCTCCTGTTCTTTCTTGCTTTTTGGTCCTTTTTTTTTTTTTGCCCACTGGTCCCATTGTTTTCTCTCAGCATTGTAAATCTTGATCTGCCATAATTCCTTACGGACTTTTCTAGGCCCAGTGTTATTCATTTGCATCTGAGTTAGAGCAACAGAAACAGGGTCCCAGCTCTTCATGTAGGTATGCAGTGTTTCCTTTGCATACAATAGCAGCAATTTTTCAGGGTAAGACTTATTTTAGGTTCTGTAGCGCTGGAGGACCTTAAAGGACCTTAAGGACTTTCTGCAAATAGAACATTGGGGAACTTATCCCAAACCAGCCTCTCCTGAAGATATGGGGATGGAGATTTTTCAAAGGCCACATTCAGGAGTTTAAGAATTCAAAAAGTGTTATAAACTTACTACGGGTATGAGTGTCTTTCCTCTTCCTTAACATCTATATATTTCTAATTATTTTGCATACTATAAAGCAGAGGGTTTTTCTAAAATAGACAGCACAATTTTGCCAGAATGTCTGAACAGAGTGTACTTTAGGATGTGGAAACTTTCATAGACCAGATGGATGAAAAATGTGGCAGTATTCCTTATTAGTTTAGTTTCCCTCTTTACTGATAATTGAAAATCCATCATTTTCTAGTGACAGATTATATTTTTCCCTTAATTGTGTCATTTCTTTTCAGAATTTCATCAGTTGTTACTGCTTCTGTATGTGTCAAGTACAGAACAAAAGGAGGGATAAGTGCCTCCTGAAGAAAGGAAATTCTTCCTCTGCAGCTTTTCTCTTCTTTATGGAAAAGCTGAAATGCTGTTTTTTTTCTCTAATTCTAGGATCATGGTTACTTGATTTGCCTGGTTTTCCTAGCTGTTTTTCATGGTACCGTATTACGTTATGTTTTTTGGATCAAACCAATCTTACTCTTCTTTTTTACTTTCTTTATTTCCATTAGAGAGGTATTCATGTTAACTTCACCCTAAAAATAAGATCCCGAGTTGTAAGGCACATTTCCAAACATCTTCACTAAAATGTGGCCTCTTAGAACTAACATATCCATGGAAGAGAAAACTCTTGCATTCAGTAGTGAAAATAGCTTAAAAAGTAAAGCTTATTCATCGAGGTATTATTTCAAAATTACATGTGTGACGTGATTTGGTTCCTCATTTGCAGACCAGAACTTCCCTGTATCAGCTGAGTCTTAAAACCTAAAAGGATTTGTTAACCTAGATCAATGCAGAAGAGTTTTTTTGCAAGACACAATTTGTTCTTCTAACAGGAGTTAGAGGTACAGAAGAGAAAGGAGCAAAACATCTGGCAATGGTTGTTTACCTTCTTGTGATTTTTCTCTTTTCCTTTTGTACACGTCTTCAAGCGTCTGGTAAGTCTTTGTCCTCTGCTGAGCTCAGAGTTTTGAAAGTGATCTTTCTCCTGCTTTTCTGTCATCCTTCCTCATGGAGATTGAGTATAGATCTATTTGCAGCCCAGCATGTAATTTGGAATAGTTTCTTTCAACTCTTAAATCTGGTGATGTTAGACATTGCTTTTGTAACCCAGTTTTCAAGGATGTGAATGAGTAAAATGAACAAACAAACAAACAAAAAAAAACAGGTGTGAGTGAGGCAGTGCTGATTCCTGAAAAACAGCCAGTTGAGTGTGGACGTAGCTGACCTGAAAGTACTCCATTGGGAGGCAAATCAGCTCAGGTGCACAAGGCAATGTTTTCTCAGCATGCATGGAACCACTGGCTGATGTCTGCACTGAGTTTCCTACTCAGCTCATGTGGCTGTTGCACATCGATTGTTGTTTACTGGAATTTCCTGGCTGGCAGCTTTAGAAAGGACCTTAAAAGCTGCTGCCTGCAACCGTAGTCTAATCCACCATGTGTGAGTTTCTTCTCTGCAAGTTTTTGGGCAAGGCTTAGCTGGCTAGCATGAAGCACCACTGCAGTCGCAGAGCTGTGGCAGGGTGAGTGCCATGTGCTTGTTTGGATCTTTAGCTTTTTACAGGAATGTCACCACAGCTGTTTGACTGCTCCTCAGTGTCCTGGAATGTGGGGTTATGAACCTCATCTATTTCTCACCTGGTAAGAAAGCTGGGATGGCAGGAAAACTCAATGGCACAGCAGAGCAAGCTGGGTCATGTTGCTGTCAGTTTAGGAGAGCCAAGGGATAAAAAATCAGCAGCAAAAATATTCCCAATACGGAGCAGGCTGTAATTCTACCCACTTTTTTTACAATTGGTCTTCAGAAAAAAACCTCTTTGGGGTGTCGTGCAATGCTTCACACTTCTATTTACAAGTGTAGCTATTAATGGCGCTGAGGACAGTTATCCTGTGCTCAGAACTGAAGTGATGATGTTGCAATTTGTGGTTTTCCTCCTGAGAAAAGCACAACCTGAACTCTGACTCTGTGAAGAAATGACTTTTTGTATGGTTGCCAAAAATTCCAGATATTATTAGCTAAAATCGTAAAGTATTGCACTTGTTTATTGAGTTGCAAAACACAATGTTATTCTGGGCCAAATGTAAAAATGGTTGAATGTTGAGTATGGAAACCTTTTTTCATGCCTCTAATGCAAAAAGCCTTTTACTCACAAAATTAAAACCTGTTTAATATGCTGTGTGGCAGAAGTAATTAAATCTCATATTAAATCATTAAGTCATCATATTAATCATTTAAGTCATTAAATCTAATCTCATTCTTGAATGGCACTTTGAGAACAGCGTGCTTTAAGAAGAAAATTCTATTCTGTATGTATCTTAAAAATATTGTGATGAATGCTTTTCATACTGTTGATGAAACTCTCTGGATTTCTTTCTCGATTGACTGAATATCTAATTTTTGTAACAGACTGTTGTATAGCAAGAAACTGATTTATCTCCTATGGCAGCTCTCCTCAAAAAATTGCATTCTGATTTTGCTTTATAGATGGTGGAATATTTTTAATTTATAATGACGATAGCAAGCTCTGTGCCCAAGCTCAAAACAGCAGCTCAGTCATAACTGCCATGTGCAATGAGAAAAATGAGTTGCAGAGGTTCAGATGGATCTCGGCCACACAGCTGCTGAGCATGGGGATGAAGCTGTGCTTAGGAGTGCTCACCATGGATGACGAGGCTGCCATCACATTGGAAACCTGCAACAGGACAAACGAGCTTCAGAGGTGGGAATGTAAGGATGAGGCACTTTCAATCCAAGGCAAGGATTTGTTTCTCAACTATGGCAAAGGGAAGGGGAAGAAAATCAGGTTGTCCAAAGAATCAGGAAAAGGGAGCCGGTGGAGAATCCGTGGAACTGCAGGCAGCATATGCTCCAGGCCTTATGAGGGTGAGTATTGAAAATTAATTTCTATATTTATTGGTAAATTAACTGCCCCTATTTAAATGGATTCAACTGCCTGCTTGTCAAGCAGCAGTCCTTGTGTAATACATTTCACTACAAATGGCTTAGCAATGCAACTCAAATATCATAGAATCATGGAATAGAACAGGTTGGAAGTTACATTAAGGACCATTCTGTTCCAATCGCCTGCTGTAGACAGAGTTGCCACCCACTAGACCAGATTTCTCAAAGCATGTATTTGCACCTCCAGGGATCCACAACTTCTCTGTTCTGATCCATTGCCTCACCACCCTCCGAGCAGGGGATTTCCTCCTAATATCTAATCCGATCTCTCCTCTTTTAGTTTAAATCTTTTTTTTTCTATGTCATTCTTAGACCATGTAAGAAGTCTTTCTCTGTCTTTTTTTATAAGCCCCATTTAAATACTGGAAAGTCTCTTATCCCGTCTGAACAAGCCCAGCTTCCTCAACATTTCCTCAAAGGGGAGATGCTCCAGCCCTCTCAACATCTTTGTGGCCCTCCTCTGGACCTACTCTGACATGACTGCATACTTTTCTGCCCATCTCAAAAAGTGTGATTCTGTCAAATGAAAGAATATAGGTTCATGATAAAAAAAAAAAAAAAAGGAGAATGGGAATTCTCTTTGTACAGCAACAATGGAGGGAGATGGCGTGGGTGGAATCTGTGACTGTTTCAAAATCAACTTGATCCATTTCTGGGAGAAGTGGTGAATTCCATTATATTAAGATGTTGTTGTTCTGACTTGATTTGACCAGGTGCTGTCTTTATAAGTTAATTTCTAGATAACACTGTTTTGATTCACTGCTAAAAGTGTTTATCCAGTGTTTCCCAGGTCCAGAAAGAAGAAAAAGCATAAGAAGGCAAAAATAAAGACAGGGCTTTAATGCTTTGAAATGCAGTAACATCTAGCACTTAGATACGAATGCTGGAGATTTCAACACTGGAGAGTGGGATCTCCTTTTTCTGCTTTATTATCCTGCTTGGGTTACACAGACCTGGCATTCAGTGTCAAGTGTTCGATGTCCTTTCTACTGTAACACTACTAGGGTGAGAGGTTAAATAGCAAGAGAGAGTTCTACCTGGAATGAATTTTATCATTATTTTGTTCAGATACAGACAAACGGACTGTGTAGACATTGGAGAGTTGCTTTCCAACAGTTAAAAATTTAAGATATAACATCCTCTCGTGTGGACTGATAAAAATACTCTGACAGTTCCTGTCCAAGCTTCTTTAGCCATACAGAGAAAAGAAAAAAAGATCCTAAACATCATCTGAGGACAGAAATTTGTGCAATGGGAGAAGCTGAGTCACGAAACCGTAGTCCAGACATGACAAGTAATAAATCTGACAGATTTTTTTTTTCTGGGGCCAAATCAAGACTGTTTAAGAGTGTTAATTAGGAACATCCATGGAGAGATGCCTATGAACAAACCCTGTGATTAATATCAGATACCAAGTGACTTCTATTAAACTGTTTCTCTCCATAGATATATATACACTAGGAGGAAATAATTTTGGTGCACCTTGTGTATTCCCTTTCAAGTTCAATGGTAAATGGTTTGCTGACTGCACCCGTCAAACTGATGCAGGCTTTCTCTGGTGTGCAACTACTTCAGATTTTGATAAAGACCAACGTTTTGGATATTGTCCATCAAAAGGTAATTTATTTATAAATATTTCAGGGAAGGCAGGTAAAATGTCACCTTCTCTCACGGTCAAAATCTCCTCAGGATGTGAAAGTAGTACTGGACAGCAAATTGGATTCTGGGCAACCTAATTCACTGGTAAGCTATGCAACTGAAATGAACTGCTCTTCATTCAGTTTCTCCATCGGAGACAAGGAGACTGGTATCTATGGAATATATGGTGAGGATGTTGTGTGGAACTGATGGAAAAAGGCAGAACGAAGTGCCTTTGACGCATTTTGAGGCAGGTAATGTATAGAGTAAGAAGGGTTCCAAAGTAAAAAGTATGGATGGAGAGACCAAGATTTTCTGCATGGGGAAAAGGCAGTTACTGTGGACTGAACTGTGAGAGAAATAGATGAGATATAAATGGAAAAGAAGAAAGTGAATGTAAAAAAAAAAGAGATTTGTAAGGAGAAATAACTCTTTACATTATAAATGTGTTATTTGTGTTGAAGGGCAAAATCATACAGATACACTGTTTTAGTCTTCACTGAATACTTTACTTTATACATTAACAAGTGTGATTATCTTACCAAGTTGTTCTTTTCATATTTTATAGATACTCTCCACAAAGACTTTTGGAAAACAAATCCTTTGACTGAAACCCATTATCAGATAAATGCAAAGTCACTTTTGACATGGCATCAAGCAAGAAGAAGCTGCCAGCAGCAGAATGCAGAATTATTAAGTGTTACAAACCCTCATGAAGAAATGTTTTTATTAGGTAAAGCAAAAAATTACATACAAGTAAATGAATGTAGTTAAAACGAGCTTTAAAATGAATACTTACATTCACATTTTGAAAATAAGTCCCATTGCCATTCTTAAAAAAAAAAAACAAAAAAAAAAAACAAACCTTGTCACTTTCTGACAAAAAAAAATTCTTAAAATAGTGTGGAAAAAAATCTAACCCATATAGAAAAGATAAAAAGATATCGATGACTTTTTTTTTTCATTGTCCAATTTTTAAAAATTTATTTCAAGTTTTCTTTAACAACTAACCAGATGCATTTAATTATTTTATTTATTTGTTTGTTTGTTTGTTTGTTTTCACATGTAGGACTCACTAGTGATCTGGGATTCAATGCCAAGCTCTGGACTGGTCTTGTCAGACGACTTGATAGCAGCTGGGAATGGACTGAGGGTAGTCCTCTCAGATATCTGAACTGGGCTCCAGGTGAGTGCATTTTTCAGAAATAATGATCAATATTCAGACCAAAATTATGTTCTCTTCCCCGAAGTCCTGTTACCTGATTCCTTTTGTTTCACAGAATTTTTGCAGGTTACAAGTGCTTATGATAAAGGTAGGGTATTACGATAATGGGATCGCATCATAGGTGGCTCATTGTTATTTCTGAATTTCCCAGGAAAAGCAGATAGCTCATCCAAGAAAATCATTAAAAACATGCATTTGCACCTCATTCAGTGTTTGATTTCCATTTACAGTTTTCTCATCACACGTATTATTCAAACCAAATGAAAACCTCATGAAAAGTGTTATATAGATAACTATGAAAGAGGAGAAAAAAAAAAAAAAAAAAAAAGAGAGAAACACTGTATAATTTTTTTCAATTGCTTTTCTTATGTATTGTGTATAATGTCCAAGTGATAAACTCTTAATAAGTTTCAAGATTTTTCAAGATTTAATTCACCATAGTGCATGTTGCTGAAGTACATGATTTCATCGTAACAGTTCTGATGACAGGAAAATCCAAAGGGTGAGCACTTATATGGAATTCAATACAAATTTCACATCCATTTTTTGACAGCAAAGGATATTGAGTGTTTTGCAATAATACCAACCCACTGGGAGTTGTACCTTAGCTGAATTTTTATGAAGTGTTTTTCTGTATGCTGCAATATTTCAAATACCCTCATTTTCTCCTTGAATTGTTTATGGGAAAGGGGAAATCCTCATATTTGAAACGTGGGTCCTCCCAGTGGGCTCACTGGTGTCTCTTCATCACCGCTCCTGGGAATTCTTACTCTGAAGAATCAGGCACTAAGGCCATTGTGGCTGCGCATTCCCTCCTGTGGTGAGATGAAAATATTCAGTGTTAACAGAGTGATTCTCTGCATGTTGTGCTTCTTTCCTAAAGGAAATCCCTCTGTGGAGTTTATAAAAATGTGTGGAACCTTCCAAGGCAGGAATGGCAAATGGGAAAATGCGGCATGTAATCAAAAGCTGGGGTATATCTGCCAAAAGAGAAACTCTTCCATTGTGGATGACTCCTTCACTGTTCCCTCAGGTATGATGTGTCTTGCAAAAAGATGTGAGCTAGAGCTCATGCTCCCCCCCCACTCTCTTTTCTACTCTGTTCTGAAAAGAAAATACTAGAACTTGCGTTTGGCACTTTTTCCTACTGGAGTTCTCTTTTCATTGGAGGCAACGTAGTCTTTTCTATAGGAAGAAAATATTTAGTGCTTGGCAATTCTCAGCATGCCTCTAGCTCTGCTGTAACTCCTCCCAGCAACATGTATGATAGTCTATAACATTATTCACTGGATTGAGGGTTTAATGACACATCTTAAATACTAAGTCTGCATCCAGATAGCCCACTGGGAATGGTTTCTGACCCATGCTTACCTTCAGACTCATGCTTGGATGTTGACCAGGGGAATGCAAGCTTGTACATGAATGTGTCTGAGCCTTCCTGTGCATAATATTAGCTGTGCAGGAGCTCCAAGTGACTGGCAAGCACCTGGTGTTCCCTGAAAAAAAAACACAGAAAATCTCCAAAATTCACCAAGACAGAGTTCCTGTGTAGGACAAGAGGCCCCGTGGCTGTACCCAGAGCTTCATGGATGGGGATTTGACATAGAGCATTGCCCTTCAAGTTTGCATACCAAATTGATGAGTATTTGTTTCATCTCTAAAAGAGCTATTGGGTAGCTTCCGGAACAATATTGTTCTGATGGAAATATCTGTTTTGCATTCTTTTTGATGCTCCCACCCTTTTTTGTCTTTTCTACCAGTCTGTACTCCAGTATCTCAGAGTTTGCAGTACAGTTAATTTTCTTTGTGATTAGCAGAGAACACTCAGCAGAACCACTCACTAATTATTTGAAATATTTTTTTTAGGAGACACAAAGCCTGTTAAGTGCCCCAGGGAATGGGTAGCCTATGCAGGACATTGCTATAGAATTTACAGAACACCCAAAATATGGAAACAAGCCCAATCATCTTGTAGAAAAGAAGATGGAGACCTGACAAGTATTCACAATGTTGAAGAGTACAGTTTTATAGTGTCTCAACTTGGGTACAGTGAGTATTCCCACAAGAAATTTCTTTGTCTGGAGCTATACTCTCTCACTTACTCATGTAATCATTATAACCAGAAGCTTACCTGTTAATTTGTTTACTCTTTGAAACTCCTTGTTCAGTAATTGTTGATATTAGACATTATATCTCAATTTTAATGCAATGCCTATCATTGACTTTGTTTTTCCAGAGCCAGATGATGAGCTGTGGATTGGTTTAAGTGACTTCAGGTTTCAGATGTATTTTGAATGGAGTGATGGGACACCTGTGATATACACCAAGTGGCATCAAAGACAGCCGACCCACACACCTAATAAGGCAGACTGCATTGTTATGAATGGAGAGGTAAAAATCCCTCTCTAACTTTCTTTTGCCCTTTATACCTCCCCTATACAAGGAAAAAAATCTGTGAAAATTCTGTGACCAAAAAAAGGAAAAAAAAAAAAAAAAGAAGAAGAAAGAAAGAAAAAACCCGCTTTTAAAGAGTTTTAGGAACTTGCTTTGCTTCAGAATATTTTAGTATGGTGAGAAGCTGGAGACCAGGTTTAGGGAGACATATAATGGAGCATCAGAAGTGATGCACTCTACTGAGAGTTGATCTACTTTATAAATGTTGCAACAAATCTCCCATCTGAAATTGGCTGACTTGACCCTTCACCTGCCTTCGACCTAGCCAGTCATAGCTGCATAGTACAGTTATTGGCACAGGGACTTGCTTATCCTTCCTGTAAAACATCAGGAAGCTATGTAAACATACCTTTATTACAGTTGCTTTGGCAGCTCCTATTACTGGAAGCACAAAGAATTAGGTACAAAAATATCCTTGTTCTGTTTTACACTCAGTTTAAAATGATGAATTATTATACTAGGGAGACAGTATGCTTTTCATGTGTTTTTTTTGTTTTTTTTTTCTCCAGCACTTCCTTGCTGATGTCATCTGGGTGTATGAGCATAATATTGTATATATGAGTATGAATAAATATTGCTACAGTGCTGAGAATAGGGTGAAAGAGAAGATGTTTTGTTCCTTTTCTCAGCCACTGAAACTTTAATGCATGCCTCCCTAATTCTCACACTTCTGAGGAAATGTGGCCCTCAGTTGGTTGTGTTCCCTGTCTGGGAGGTTTGGAGAAAGTATCCAGGCGTGGAAACGCTGAAACAACTCACACCATATGAAGAGAGAAGTGGTCTCTCTGAGAATAGTAAATATTCCTATAGAACCTGGATTTTCTCTAGATTTCACTTCTCTTTGTGGTTTCTTCTTGCCTTGATCAGGCTGGGTTCTGGACTGACAGTGCTTGTGAAACAAAACTTGGTTACATCTGTAAAAGAAAACCCTTGGCAGAGGAATCAGAGGAAGCTGAAGTTACTTACCCGGGCTGCCAGAAAGTAAGTGTGAAACAAAAGCAGTGAAAGGTCACTGCATCCCACTTTCACTTCCATGATAGTAAGTGGCATAGAAGTCAATTGTTGCAATTTGTGGACTCCTAAAAAACTGTTACTTTGTCTGTGCTGATACTTCTTAGACTAATAGACTCAAAATGGCTTCTCTTTTCCTCACTTACAAATGCACTTCAATCTGCTGCCTCCTCGTGCGGAGCTGTTCCCTTTGCCCCAACGGCCTCTCCCTGCAGAGCATCTCATTGCTTTTGAGCTGGATCCCACAGATTGCACTGAGCCATCTAGGTTCGACCCACCCGTCACAGGAGGCAGAAATATCTGAGCCTGCTGTTTTACAGTGCGATTGCAGCACAGCCTCTTGCAACAGCTGCGCATAAAAATTATATGCTGTTTTATGCTCTATTTAAAATGACATAACATAATACTATGGAGAAAGAAAAAAAAAAAATGTTTTCCATCTTTTATTTTTAATTTCTCTAGCGCTTCCTTACTAATGTCATCTGAGTGTGTGAGCATAATGTTATATATTCATAACACAAAAGCAGAGCTGGCATTACCGGATTTGTTGAGCTGTGGCTGTCAGCTTGCTTTCCAGTTCCAAGTCGCAGCCATGGTTCATTGCTGCAAAGGCACCTATCAAGGCGCGACAAGCAGTGTTGTGGCTGCAAAGCTATGCTTGATTATCCTCTAAATTCCTTTTCATGGCTTCTGAGGTTGATTTTGGTGTGGGATGTGATGTTAATGTGGCTTTTAGAAGACCTCTGTGCTGGGCAATCTTACAGTTCCCCCTGTGTGTCTGCTGATTTTTGGCAGGGCTGGATGAAGCATGGCTTTTACTGCTATTCCATAGGGCAGCTACCAGCAACATTTTCAGAAGCAAAACTTATCTGTGAAGAAAATAAAGCTCACCTGGCTACTGTGACAGACAGGTATGACAAGTGTAATCTTATCCTTTCAGACGTGTGACCAAGCCAAAAATTCAACTCTTCCCACTCTGCAGTTATTAATAGTGTCTAATGTGATACAGTTCTTTGGTATAAGACACATGTTAAAACTAAGTATAACAAAATAAAACAGGCAGTGCTATGTCATCAATATTAACATTGAAGGTATGGCTGCTACTCATCAGCACCCTTGTTGTCCCTGGTAATAAAGATTTGAGTCAGCCCCCCAGCAGTCCCAAATCATCAGACTGTTTTAAAACTCATTGAAATGAACTAAACAGATAAATATGAAACTATTTACTTCTTCTGGATTTGAGTTTTTAGCCTTTTCTTCATAATAGGAAGATCTGGAAATGTATTCTTCTTTAGAATAATTATTTTATCCTAGACTAAAAGGATTTAAAGATCTCAACCTTATTTTAAAGCATAGTAAATCACTGTATCACTGATTTAAATAAATGCATTAACCCAAGTATTGGCTTATATTGCTCATTGTAGAGCACAAAGGGAGAACAGAATCACTTTAAATTATAAGCATGATATACATTACCTAATTGTAAAGTGAACATTTTGTATTATGATGAGATCTATACCTTTAAGACCATGATCCATGATCCTTGTTTCAATCTATGCTTATTTTTTTCCCCATATAATTAACAAATCATCTTAAATTTACCAGATTTACTACAATGAACTATTTGAAGAAATAGGAAGATTACAATAAAGCTTGATACATTACTTTAGTACTTGTTCTTCACAGATATGAACAGGCTTTTTTAACTTCTATAATTGGATTCAAGCCAGTGAAATATTTCTGGATTGGACTCTCAGACGTGGAGGAGCAGGGGACATTCAGGTGGACTGGTGGGGACCCGGTCGTCTTCACTCACTGGAACATGGGAATGCCAGGTGGGAAACAGGGGTTCAGAGTTTCTGCTCTGGGGAACCAGGAAGTCAGGGTTTAGAAACTATAGGATGGTTTTAAAACAATTCTGCTGTAAATGTGCAGAAATTACCATGCAACTTTTGTTTGTACTGAAGCTGTAGTAGCTCTTTCCAAGTGGCCGCCTTGGACTGCATGTGGCCGCTGCTGTCATCCACTCTTGGTTCTTCCACAGTTTGGAACAGATAATGTGGACCATAAATTCAAATTCTTGCTGGTTTTTATATTTTGGTGATACAATATATCACCAGTATAATATAAAATTAGTTTTTTAATAACTTATTTTAACTACTTGACCATTCAAACACAGTGGGGACAGGTAGCTTTTAGTAGAGGGTATATGTTTTGAGAAGATGTAGGTGCACATCCATAAGGTTTTAAAATTTTCCCTTTCATGAAGGAAGGGAGCCAGGCTGTGTGGCCATGAGAACAGGAACTTCAGCTGGATTATGGGATATTCTCAATTGTGAAGAAAAAAACCTGTTTCTGTGCAAGCAGCTGGTGGAGGGAGCGACCCCACCACCCCCTCTGACGACTCCTCCGCTCCCGTCCTGCCCAGATGAGTGGCAATCCATTCCTCAGAGCAGCTTCTGCTTCAAAGTAGGTGTTTAACAAATGAAAACAAACACCTGTCATTTCAAGTAAGAATATGCTTCATCTATGCATGGAGGGTGGATTTTATCCTGCTTACCTAACGGGTCATTTGCATTTACACATCTCTAACCATATCCTGGGTGGGGCATCCTGAGGTGCTGAAAAGTGCTGTGTGCTGCTGGATTTGAAGTTTGGAGCTACCAGGATTCGGAGATGATGATGAAAACAAGGCTGCAATAATCAAATTTGCTAGGTGACCACACAAGCAAGGTGGCACAACTAAATGTCAAATGATTAAACTAGAGGCGAGAGAACAGAAGAAAAACAGATGTTCAGAATGCTGATTCTAAATTACTGTAATATCTGAGACTGTATTTAACTGCCCACTTTTCACAGATTTTTCAGAGAGGAAGGGAGAAAATGCAAACATGGTTTGGTGCAAGAGATTTTTGCAGAGCTATTGGAGGAGATCTGGCATGTGTCCACAGTGAAGAAGAGCAAAAACTAATATCTAGTTTGTAAGTATCTGCAAAATACATTGTTTAAACATAGGAAAGAAAGCATTTTAAAAATGAACATTTTGCAGGACATGAGGAATTTCCAGTGATCAGTTTCTTTTTTGGAAAGACAATGTGCATCTCTGCAAAGTGTAAAGAGGTAGAAACAGAGTTAAAGAGGTGGAAAGAAGTGAGCAAATGTGCTTGTTGGCAGACCTTTGGGTAGATTCATCTATGTGTGAGAGTAGCTTGAACACACACAAAAATGAAAGAAGGGTCATAAAAATTGGTTTCAACTGAGTTTAGTTGAAAAAGAGAAACCAGTTGACCAGCAGATGAAATAATAAAAAAATTGAAGGAATATTTTATGCTGTGAAATGTAGTTTTCCTTCTTTAGTTGCGGGGAAAAATTGGAGTCTAAGAAAGACTACTGATGTGTCTATATAAAAGTTAAACTGAAGCAAATGAGTACTGGCTAGTCTGGGTTTGAATGCATAATTTTCTTTGTGGGACCAAGACCTTAAAATTTTCATTTAATTCAGTAATTTTGATAATGTGATATCTGTGATCATTCCTGTGCAGTTCTGTTTCCCTGATTCCTGTCAAATATTTTTCCCCACATGAAAATGGGGGGATTCCTTTACATGAATTCCTCAAGTGATAATTCAAGTGACAAAACTTTCATATGACATATATTCTCCATTTCTATTTCACACTCTTATTGTCTATATTTGCACATAATCATTCAGAAATAAAGACTATCGTCACTTATCTTACTGGATGGGTTTAAATGCCTTGGACTCTGATGGAGGATTTACATGGTGTGATGGCTCACCAGTGAGTAAACAATTTCTTTTTCCTACTCCTTTTCTTATACTACATTATACTACACGTACGGTTTGTCAAGCATGTACAAACCACAAGTGACTTTAAGTCAATTTCCCAAGTCTGATTTAGGAATTAGTTTTTATCTTCTGATAGTTCACAATCATACAGAGTAGTATGACAGTTATAGCAATGAAATAACACCAAAGATAATGGAATCTCTATTTTCTCTCTTGGTTTAAGACTCTGGTTGTACCAATCTCTGTATTCCCATTTGTCATTTACTGTGAGAAATAACTGTTTGTTTGGTCAAGATAAGCTTTTTTGCCTTCACCCTCTTAAGTAGCTCAATGTCTGCAAGGCCCAAGACCATATAATGGCAGCTTTGGATGTCTCTGAAACATCAGGGCAGGAGGAGGGGATCTGAGGAAAGTTCTTAGCTTGACAAAACAGCTTAATCTCTTCACGTATAATGGAGAAGAACATTTTTGGCTTACTAGTGTTGGCCAATGGGTACACAGAAGAATCACTATGCTATGCAATGGTCTTGTGGTCATGTCTTTCTTCCAGAGTTTGGAACAAACAGATAATGTGGACCATGAATTCAAATGAAGTGTTTTCTTCTTTAAAAAAAACGTTTTGCTTCCATAGAAAATCCTAAAAAAGCTGTGTTTTCACTATAGGTAAATTTTCAAAAATGGGCAAATGGAGAACCAAACAATTATGATGGAAATGAAAAATGTGGAGTGTTTTATGGCTATAATGATATGAAATGGAATGATATATTTTGTGAACATATGCAAGACTATGTTTGTCAAATAAAAAAAGGTAAGTCGAAGACCTTTTTCTTCTAAAAAAGTATTTAGAAACAGTTTAGAACATGCTCTCTAGGTCAGATCGCATCATGTGTATTAGAGCCAGCTGTTCCATGAAACACTACATGAATTTCAATTTAAATAAAAACAGTTTGTGGATGAGATACATGTGTGAGTTTAGCATGCACATGCAGCATGCTGAGGAAATGAAATCAAGTAGCCTAAATCCATAGTCCATGGTTTATGTAAGCTTGGCTCTAACATAGTAGTTTGCTGAGTGTAACACCTTCTTTCAGATATTCCTAGAAATTTTGTGACAAAAATAATCTTACGAGTAACTTCTAGATTTCATTTTATCTCTGGAAATTAAAATGCAATGGTAAATGGTTAAAAAACAATGGCATAAATATATTTAATCGAGATATTTCTGATATATTTAATGTACTCAGATATTGATTTACCTTGCAGGAGCATCACTGAAACCAGAACCTACATCCACATTTGGTAAGTCTTGTACATTCAGTACATGAAGAAATTTTTATACAATGGTGTTAATGTTTGTTATGAGCACTCTACTTAATGTTTCATATTGCAGATTATGAATATGTTGTTAGTGAAGATGACTGGATAATATATAATCATAAGGAATATTACTTTAGCAAGGAAGCGATGCCTATGGAAAAAGCGAGAGACTACTGCAAGAAAAATGGTGGTGATCTTGCCATTATTGACAGCGAAAGTGAAAGAACGTTCCTTTGGAAATATGTAAGAAACTCACTTCACTTCAAAAAATCAAGTTTTATCCTCCACTGAGGCCTCTTTTTCAGCTGGCTTCAGAAATATTAGAAAGTAGCCTGCAGAATAAAAAATGAGTGCCACCTTTCATGAGTTTAACTACCTAGAAACTTTAACATAATCATTATTCTGATAAATAATTGCTATGTGTAGAGAAGTCCTCCGTTTATTTACAAGACCATTGCCAGAGTGCAACTTTCAACATTTTTTTTCTGGTTAGTTGAAAGTTAGTTACTGAGTGGGTACTTTGTTTTCCACCTCGTTCTCTTCACAGAATTTAAAAATAAAGGAAAAAAAAAATCTCCTTTTGTCAAAATAGATTTTAAATTTTCAAGAAATAGTTTGAGCCAGGCTGCTTTCCAATAGGAAGTGAATAACTTGGTGATTCTATTTTTCTATAAATAGTTTCTATGCTATTAAAAACAAGTATGATTCCTCCCTTTTTTCCATGTGATTAAACTGTAAGCTCCATTATTTACTTGCAGCCTTTTGGCGATTTTCCACTGTTTTCCTAAAACTCTAAAAATATGTTTTTATTTTATAGCCCTTTTAAGACATTTTTTTTGTTTTGTTTTGTTTTTAATCTTCTTAACACAGCACTTTGCCCCATTTCTTTTTCATCCCGTTATGCTTTTATTTTTATAATTGAATGATAATTTTGCATTTTGAAGTTCAGGCACATAATCCCAGCAACTCCGTGTACATTGTTTGCCATCTAACTGTATAAATGTAAATAAGGTGTTTTTGAGTGCTTGTTCATTTTATTTGAAATCTATTTGCTTACATTTCATTGTTACTTTTTTTTTGTGTGTATGTGTATGTTTTAGACTTTTTATAAAGATCGAGGAAATAATTTTTTTATTGGCTTAACTGTGAGCCTTGACAAGACGTTCCGGTAAGTGAAAACATTAAGTATGTAAGACTCATATGTGATGTGTGAATATTTGCCAAGGCTGTTTCTAGGAGTCTGCTGAGGCTTAAAGGTGGACAGAGTTTGCCTACAGCCATATTTTGACGTAAAATCTTAAAATACGATTCTCATTTTCAGGGTAGCATTTCTCCTATGATATTTTTATTATCTATTTTCTCTTCTTCTAGTTCTAGGCCATGTTTTTTGTTTTGTGAGGTCATGTTTGCTCACAGTCAGTGTACTCTGAGTTAACACATGCACTCACTCTCCTCATTAAATGCAAGAGAAGATAAGATAGATAAGATCGAGGTCTCTAGAGATATTCCAGGTGGTACTTAAAGAAAGTATTAAATATTCAAATGATCAAAACCTTACTCTGCCTTCATCTTCTGCCTTTTTCTAGTGCCTTCTTCAGGGATTTCAAAATTTGGTCAGATGAGTCTCTGCCTCATTTCAACCTTTCTTCTGAATTGTCAGGATGTCTTTCTTGTCCACAAGCCACAGACACTCATCTCTGTGGAGCTGAGACAGCCTGATTTCCTGGAGCTTCTGCCCCCTCCTCCCCTGCCCAGTGGTTAGGAAAAAAAACTTTATTGTTTGTCTTTACTGCCCCTCTAATTTAATCCTTCTTTTTTCTGGATGATTGTCCAACTTTTTCAGAAATCATAGAATCATAGAATTGTAAAATCATAGAATCATAGAATGACTCAGAATAATAACAATATAGTTTCCAACCCATAGTTTGGGTTGGAAGGGACCTGAAAGACTGTCTTGTTCCAACCCCCTGCTATGGGAGGGGACAACTTCCACTACATCAGTTTGCCCAAAGCCCTATCTGACCTGACCATGAACTTTTTCAAGCTTCTCTGACCAACCTGCTCCTGCTCCACCACTCTCACAGTAAGGGATTTCTTCTCAATGTCTAATCTAAATCTACTGTAAAGCCATCTACCCTTTTCCTGTCACTATAGTCTCTGATAGCCCCTCTCCAGCTTTCCTGTAGGCCCCTTTTAAGTACTGAAAGGCCACAATGAGGTCTCTCAGGAGCCTTCTCCAGGCTGAACAACACCAGTTCCCTCTGCCTGTCTTCATAAGAGAGATGCTCCAGCCCTCTGAGCATCTCATGACCCTTCTCTGGACTCATTACAACAGGTCTATGTCCTTGTTCTGGGGAGCAGGTCTGGATGTTGTACTCCAGATAGGGCCTCACAAGAGAAGAGTGGCTGAAGACAATCTTCTCCCTTGACCTGCTGGTCATGCTCCTTTTGATGCAGCCCAGGATACACTTGGCTTTTTGGGCTGTACATGCACATGTACATGTCTTTAAGACATTCCTCCCAGTTTACTCTGTTATTTTTTTTTGCTGTTTGACTCAGGAAGATTTGCAAGTGAAAGCATTTAGGCATCCTTTTGCATTCCTTATTTGTAGTCTACTGGCAGAATCATGCATACTGATGATTAGCCTTACAAACTGGAAAAACACTGAGTAGCCCTGGAGCTCATTCTGTCTGAAGGCACATTTCCCACTTGACTGTGCTCTCTCCAGCAACCTGAGGCTTTTTATTTTTTTTTCATAGGGCATTTGTGAGAATAAATTTGTGAATCACTGCACTAGGAAGTATTTTTTTTGCATAACTGAAAGCAGTAGCAATATGTATTATAGATTTCTTTTGTTAACAAAATGGTTCCTAGTATGTAATTCGAGAGTCTGTCTTACCCTTCAAGACATTATATTACCGCTTTGGCCTCAGGAAATTACTAAGTTAGCCTCATGTTTCTGCATCTGTGCTCCAGGTAAGGCCAGGCCCAGTGTTACACCAGTGTATTTTGTTTAAGTTATTAATGCTCAGAGACAGAGAAAAGCCGTGACTTTGAGAAGACTAGCTGAGACCTGGTTCAGGTCAGCAGTATGCACATTAGACATGAAGATATTTTTTAATGATTTCAAATGAAAAGTTTTCCTTCTACCAGAGAAGAACACATTTGTAAACTAGGATATAGAAAAACAAACAAACAAACAAGCTCTAATAAGTCCCTAGCAAAGAAATGCTACCCTAAGAATTATTATTCTACCAAATCACTTATTTCAGGTGGGTTGATGGAACTACTGTAAACTATGTTGCCTGGGCCCCAAATGAACCCAACTTTGCAAATAATGATGAAAACTGTGTGGTCATGTATACCCAAACAGGTGAGTGCTGTAACAATATTCAGTCCTTCATGGTGTGGTACAGACTTGAGAGGGCTGAATGTGCAAGTCTGTGTCTTAGAGATCTGCATTAGATTTTAGAGAGGTTAATTAAGCATTTAAACTATAATGACCCTTTGGCAATCATGAATTTTGCTGTAAACCTGAATATTTCTAAGGAGAACATACATAAAATTAGTAATTATTTCCATGGGAAGGGAAATATGGTAATCAGTTCTACTTCCTATTATAGATTTACTAAAGGAAAGGTCACTCTTTATTTCAGTCTCAGTTTTGTCTTTTATTCTGATTTGCTTTAAGGTACATGGAATGACCTCAACTGTGGCAGTGTTGAGCTTTTCATCTGTGAAAGGCTTAACAGTACTGTTCGTCCAAGTATTGCTCCCACGGTACCACCACCCAAGGGTGGGTGTCCAGAAGACTGGCTCCTCTTTGATAATAAGGTACAGTATGAAAAGTCAGTATACTGCATTTTAAAAAGAATTGAAAACTTCCTTGGTTTGGTATTTGAGTTGAAGCAGTGTTTTTGTTTATCACAAAATATATTCTGACCAAGTATATTTAATGACCCTAAAAATAAGATTCCTGAAATAGAAATTATAGTCTGTATCAGAACCACAACTGTTATGAAAGAAATCATGTGCCATACAAGGAGAAATCTTCATTTTGTATTTTTACTATTATTTAGTATTGCCAAAGATAGTTGAGCAACTGTGGGAGAAACAACTTCAGAACAACTGTACATTTGTATTTACTTTGCTAAGCTTCTCTGTCTGTCACTTACTGCTGGGACTCTTTTTTGACCTGTGTGAATTCTTTTCTGAGGTCTTAAGCGTTCCTTAATCAAAGTCAAGCCTACGAAATGCTGTGGAACCATTGCTTGAACTTAATTTCCACTTAAATTTTTAGACTGATATATTTCTTCTTCTAAATAGGTGCTAAAATATGGAGGTTTTCCAGTATGCATCTTCTCTTTCAGAAAGACCTAAAGGCAAGCTAAAAAGGACAATTAAATCTCCTCTTGGTTTAAAATATCTAGCTTATCTCACTTGTTACACACAGAGATGCTCTCACTGGAAGCTCTAAAACATCATCCAACTACAGCTTTGGTACACTTCTTTCTTTTCAGTGTTTCAAAGCATTTGGCCTTAATGAAAATTACACACTGACATGGCATGCTGCACGGAACAGTTGTATTACTCTTGGAGGAAACTTGGCTACTATCTCAAAAAAGGAAAATCAAGGTATAAAGTACAAATCTTTTGATAGATGAGACATCAAATGATCATGGAGAAACAGATTATAACATTTTCCTTCCATGTACAATATTTATCTTTTCTTCAGCTTTCCTCATGTCTCTCTTAAAAAATACTGCAACCGATGCCTGGATTGGACTGAATGACATAAACCATGAGCATACATACTTATGGACAGATGGAAGTCCAGTTTACTACACAAATTGGGCAAAAGGTTCCCGAAGTTACTATAGTAAGGTAAAAAATTTATTGTTATCATGGAATCATAGAATCACAGAATAGAATAGCTTGGGTTGAAAGGGACTTTAAAGGCACTTAGGGGGCATGAGGGAGACTCATCCTTCTTGAAGCAGAGACGAGGACCCATTCTCCAGGTTTGTGGTCTGTCTCCTCAGGTTTGGAAGCTAGCTTAACTTCTTCCTCTTGCAAGGACTTCAGACAGGATAGCTGGCCTGCCTGTATCACTGCACATACCACTCATCGATTTCTCTCCCTGATTCCTGAATACTACATTTCCTGGCGATTTCCTCATGCAACCTGACCACTTGCTCAAAAAGTTTGTCAAACTGGGAACACTTGCACCTCCTCTGCCCTCAGGCCCTAAGAGAACTTCCAGGTTCTGGAGATCCCTGCAACAGAAGATATGGGCAGCTTTATTCACTCATTGAGAGGTCTGTCTGCTCAATTCACTGGCCCCCAATCTGGGTTTCCATCTCAGCCCAACCATTGTGGCCAATGGTCGCCATGTGTATTTCAATAATGCTGTTCCCAGAAGACAGAGACAGAGAGAGAGCTACCTGATGCCCTTCTGGTCTCTCGTGTTTCCTGAATGCATCTTGGAGTCTGACTGTTAAAATAAATAACACTGCTTTTTAATGTCAAAAATGCTGCTAGCAGAGGATGGTTTCGATCCATCGACCTCTGGGTTATGGGCCCAGCACGCTTCCGCTGCGCCACTCTGCTGCTTATTTTAGCTTTTGTGGATGAATGAAATGTACTTCAGCTGCATTTTGCTGTAAAGTTACATTTCTACTTTTTTTTTTTTTTTTTGTAATGACCTTGTTGATTTTGAAAGCAAAGTAGCCATTAAGGTCCACCTTCAGACATTTTTTCTCAGCTTCTGTGCTTCATCATGATTTTGTATGAATCCAGACAGATGTTGGAAGCATTGTGAAAATGTCAGACAAGTGAGATTCAAATAAACCATAGCAGAGCAACAACTGTGTAACGTTATAGAGTGTTATTTAGACGTGATGAAAATATTTGAAAAATGATATATCATTACATTTTTTGATGCTAAGCTTAGTAAGGTAAGTGCACTGAATGTAGTCCTCCAATAATTTTATTAAGACATGCGTAGCTGAATATGATAGGGAACTGTATATCCAGTAGGAAAAGGAATGCTTCCTATTTATCCGCATCTTTTTCTTACTAATCTAATTTCCTCCATAGGATGACTGTGTCTATATGAAGAAGAACCCTATTGAACAAGCAGGGAAATGGAAAGATGAAGACTGTAAAGCAAGCAAAAGCTACATATGCCAGAAAAATACTGGTGAGTTTTTTTTAAGCACCTTCTAGAATAGTTTATGTATTACGACTATGTAAAACCCATGGTAAAAGTGATTTTCACATAGTCAGTGTCATTTTAACTGAAATTAATTTGCAATTTTGAAATATCTCTTGCGTTAGGATCCATTTCAACAAGCACACATACTGTTTCCTGCAAGAAAAACTTCCTCCAGTTTTAAGGACCAGACTGGTAAATTAAAAATAATGATAATAATAATAATAATAAACTATGGATCATCATGTATTTTACAATTGTTAGCAGCTAGGATGGAGAGAGAGGGAACCATAAAGACCACTTCAGACATGAAAATTTTGTCAGAGAACATGAAAACGTGGCTTCATCACTGCAGTGCTAACTGGGAATCTTAATTTGTTATTGCAGTCTCTCTCAGTTACTTGATTATTCTGATACACTAGATCCTCTTTCATTGTGATAATACGTCTAGCCAAGATAAAGCTTCCAACTTACATTTTTGTTTATTTGTTTGTTACAGACCCCACATTGCAAAGTTCCCAAGCCGTGGTTCCAATGTTTGGCTTTAACAACTATGGTGATGACCGCTATGCAGTCATCAACTATAAAATGAACTGGGAAGAAGCACAGAAGAATTGCAAAGACCAATATGCAGATCTTGCCAGTATTTTAGATCCTTATGTTGAAGCTTACCTGTGGTTACAGATACTAAAGCATGGAGAGCCCGTATGGATTGGTCTTAACAGCAATATGGTAAGTCAATAAAATGCTTGTGACAAACACACCTGTACTCCAGATCAGCATAGATTGACCGTATTTCTTGCTCAGAGGTTGGCAGAATCCACTACTGTGGCCTCCAGAGAGTGTGCTATCAATCAGATCCATGAATGCTTGGCAGACATCAAAGTCTTGCCAAGATACTTGATTTCCCTTCCATTGAGAAGTTTTTAACATCTACATTTTTGGCCATAACATAAGCAAGAAGTGCCACAGTTTAGATTTCAGAGGCTACCAAGGCTGTAGCTGCAGTAGCTATTGGCTTCAGAGGTAAAAGAGGTTATGAACTTCTGCTTCCTGTGTTCTTACATGCATGTGGGAGGGCACAGCTCTTTCTGAGAACACTCTGTGGAGCATACCACAGAAGCAGCTTGGCTTAAAAGTAGTTTTTTCTGTGGTTATTTTGAGCATTATTGTTTCAAGTTAAAGCCTAGCATTAACTTCTGTCTCAGTAGGGGGAGATGGTAAGGTGCAGCATAAAGAAAGGATCAGGCCCCTGGATGTGGGAATACTGTAGGGTGGTTTTCAGCCAGTGCCCTGCCAAAAGCTGCCAACAGCTTCAAGTCAGCGAAGAGTGTGAAGGGCTGAAATGAGAAGCTTTTGCTAAGGGCATATAAAAAGAATATGAAAAAAGATGATGCAGCTGGATATCTGTGGGAGTAGAGTTTTAAGGAAGTCAAGAGTAGAGAGTTAGAGCTGGAGCTTGAAGGGACATTAAGGCCCAGTTCCTGATGTGAGATGAATAAGAGCTAAATTTTGGTGAGAGGGGCATCGGGGAACCAGGATTAGATACAAGATTGAGATGGAACTTGGCCAAGAAAGAGATCAAAGGAAAATGGCCAGGAAAGAAACCGGAGAACTAAATGGAGAACTAAAAGGGAGCCTGCCTCCAAAGACAGCAGGAAGAAGGGATCAGGCTGCACTTGATGGGGTTAACAGAGCCATAACTGCAGCTGCTGCTGGTCATGGTCTGCAAATAGTGGTGAAATCCACTGGAAAAAGTACATGTTTAGAGAAAAAAATACTTATGTTAAGTAGCTGATCCATGCAGTGGGTGGCAGAGGTCTGTGTATGTGTCCCATGAAAAATATAATCAGTATTTCTTGTTTCAATTTAACTTCTGCTTTTTTTTTTTTTTTTTTTTTAATTTCTAAAAATATAGAAAAGCTTGTGTTAGAGGAATGCTAAGAATAGTTTCTGTGCAATTTTTGTTTGATTTCTGTGTTTATTTGGACTCCTTCAATAAGGTCTTCAGTTATATACTCGCATTTGCTACCACAAGGCTCTTTGTTCATTTACATAGAAACTGCATAGTGTGAACTGAATAATGCAGGTTGAGTGTTGAATGAATGTCTGTAGGACTATCGTCCTATCTGCTGCAGAAGGCTGAGGTTTGGTCATGACAGAGGAAAAATTAATTACATGTAAGTAACTGTGATTCTGACCTGTCCTAACTTTTACATCTCTTCAAGTGCAGTCTTAATTTTCTTTTAATCTAAACCATGTATGTGTCATGATCTTTCTGTCATTTGCTTTTAGACTCGTGGCGTTTACATGTGGTCAGATAGAAGGAGGAGCAGATATCATAACTGGGCCAGTGGAGAACCAAATAAGAATGCAGCCTGTGCCTATTTGGATTTGGATGGTTTCTGGAAGACAACATCTTGCAATGAAACGTTTTTATCTCTCTGTAAACAATCTGATGGTAGGTTATGAATAGGAGAAATGCATTTAGAAAGGCTGGAATTTCAAGTACTGTCTTTATTTCAGCAGCAGCAGACCATGTTTTCCTTGGCTTTTAAAAACCCCTGAAAGTTGTACATCTCCTTAACAGAGTTAATTCCTACGGAATCGCCACAGCTTCCTGGAAAGTGTCCTGAACCAAAGAATGGTAGATCTTGGATTCCCTTTCGTGGCCATTGCTACTATGTTCACACCACTTCTGAAGTAAGCTGGCCTGATGCTTCTATGATGTGTATTCAGATGGGTAAGTGTCTTTTTGTGAGAGCTGTTCTGAAAGTAATGCCTTCTATTTTACCATGTCAACCCATGATGTCAGAGGTGGATATTGGTAGTATGTCAGTAGAGGTTGAACTTTCCTGCCATTACATTTTGTTGAGAACTTGTGATCTAATAATTGGAAACTCTTGGTCTTTAAAGGATTCCTTCACTCCCTCTCCCTCCCTTCACCCTCATTTTCTTTTTTTCATGATTGTTTACTCAAGTAAAAAATGTATAGTTAGAAATATTGCTGAAATTTTTGTTTATTTGATATTTTAGGTGCTTCTCTGGTTTCCATAGAAGATCCAGCTGAAATGAACTTCCTCTTACTTTACTTGTCTCCACTTGCAAGTGATGTCAGAAAATTTTGGATAGGATTGTTCAAAAATATTGAAGGTAATTCTTTCATAATGACCCATAATAATGAGTTGACTTCGTCTGTGTACAGCTTGTGAGCATTTACATTTGACAAGTTCCCATCTAAACATCCCTATCTGTTAGAAGAGTGAAAACAGAATCTTCTGTAATGATAATTTATTTAATCAAATAATAAATTCCATATGTGATGTCCTCGGGTCTGGTAGATTAGAAATATTCCCCCAATTCATCCTCTTCTTATTTAATACTTTTAATTTTAGGGGAATGGATGTGGACAGACAGAAGTGTGGTAGAATTTGTCAACTGGGAGAAAGGAGAGCCGACAATGATTTATGATGAACACTGTGTGGACATGGATATCTCAAGCGGATCCTGGAGGAACTATTACTGCTCTGTTGACCGCAATTTCATTTGTAAAATCCCAAAGAGTGAGTTCTAAATTCTATCTACTGACTTGTTTTGTAAGTAGTTGTTAACTTGCATCAGGGTTAATTGTACATGCACTGGATGCTCTTTGTGGATGGATCTCGATGCATGTGCATCAAAGCCAGGATTAACTTTTGTTATGATAAATAATGCAGGAGAAGAATCTGAGTCACATTTTTATCTTCTCAGTTAAAGAGCATTGATTTTTTTTCTATTTGCTGTGCCAAGAACGTATCAGTTGGTGAGAGTGTGGAGAAAGTTACACTAGAGTGCAGGAGGCATTAGATGAAGAATAGATGACTAGGTTAGTGATGAGAAGACAGATAGATGGCTAAGCTGAGAGGTGGCTGTGCAAATCACTGAGCTTCTGGAGGATGAAAGCAAGAATTGACAATGGGACTCATAGAAATGAAGTGTGCTCAGTTTAACTGAGTGGCTAAGCAGAAAGTGCCAGTTGAGGGTGGGCAGTGGGGCCCGAATCATTTCTCTGCTGACCCAGGCATAATGAGACCTGCCAAGACTGCCATAGAAAACAATATATTTTATTATTAATGGTGGCCTTGTGGTTTTTGAATATGTCACAGCCTGAGATGAGGTTCCCTGGCATGCACAGCAGTGTTTCATAAAGTGTGAAGGATGTAAATCTGCGCATGCATATGTGGAGTGTGCCACATTTTCTCGCATCAGCTGGGAAGTGGTTTGAAAAGGCAAGCAGATCCACTTCACATATAATTCACGCAACTTGAAACTAATTGAATCTTCTCTTTTTGGATCTCCACATGTTGGCAGTAGAGTCATCCATGAGCTCTGAAGGGCTAGCCAACCAGGCCTGCAGAGAATTTACTGCATCCCAAGCAAGAGAGAAAGGGAAAAGAAATTACCTAAAAAAACAGCTTAAATACTTTTAAGTGAAAATGTGCTTTTCAGTTATTCAAGAGTAAAAAATTGAATTCTTCAGAATGAAGAATGGGGACTGTGAAGTATGAAAACTTTTAACATCTGCCTTCCAAAACAATAAAAGTGTTCAAAGCAACATGCAGTGAGACAACAGTTTGGAGTTTTTAGAACAAACATGTTTAACAAAAGTAGTTGATAAGAATTTTCGAAGAGAATGTTTTCATATCTTTTTTCATCTCCATTAAGTAAAATGTAATAGGAACACAAAGTAATTGTGTATATGTTATGTATTTTGTATCTGAATGACTACTTGCAAATTGTGTATAATATATCTGTTTTTTAATTTTAAAGTTATTGAAGTTGAACCAACTCATGATTCATCTGTCAATCAAGGTAAGTTTTATAAGCACATTAAAAAGAAATTTCAATAAGTTATAGATATTCATTATTTAGAAGTAAATGAGTTTCATTACTCATCATACAAAATTACCTATTTAACTATCACTAGTGATTTCATTTCAAACCTGTTTAAAAGGAGAACTTTTATCTCAAACTGGATGGCTTATTGATATTTTTGTTGTTTTCTGAATAGACTATAGTACATTATAATGCTGCTTTTGAAAGAAATGTAGGAGAGATTGAGCCCAGTTTTGCTCTATCTGTCCAGAACGGGTGTCAATTTTAAGTATAATTGTTCAATACTTTTCTAGTTTACCTGGCTGGTTTACTTAGGGAAATATTTGTAGTAAGCAATAGTAATCTCTGGTCATTTGTAGTAATTGTTCTGTTTTGTTTTTCATAGCATCAAAAAGAGAAGCTGCTGTTTCATCCTCACATAGTCGAGGTGTGATGATTGTTACGCTAATCTTCCTTCTGCTAGCAGGAACTGGCCTCATAGTATATTTTTTCTACAAGAAGAGACGTGAGCAGACAACTGTTACAGCCAGTTTTGGTAATGCCATATACTGTGGTAGTCCTGATCCTGGAACTCATGAATCAAAATGTCTTGTGACCAATATTGAAGAAAATGAATAGGCAGTGGTTTAATAAATAGGGTAAACTTGGGCCTGATTGGAAAGGAACTGAAGTACTGGAATACCAGAATTCTGAAGTAAAACTGATTTTCTCCTATGGAAATTATTGTTCATTTTGCACAGGATACTTCTTGCTTGTACTAGCAGGAACAAGCAATCTTGCAACACTCTAAATCTGTTCACAAACAAGTAGTTCTTGGGAGGACTGTTGAACATACATAAAACCTTGGAGCTACACTGTGTAAAGGAACACTCAAGATGTTCCAGTTGATGCATGGGTCCTGCATTGCCCTTAGATACCAGGATAACATCACAGGAAACAGTGAGAGTAAGTGCCTGAGCATTCTCCAAAAAGTACATCGAGATCTGTAGGAATCCTGGAGATGCCACTTCTGATCTCCAGCACAGACTGACAGAATTGTATAGATCGGGTGTCAGCTCCAAGATCGCTTGGTACACACTCATGCTTGAGCAGGACCAGCTCCCTGCCCCAACCAGGTACCCTGCTCCAATGTTTATACATGCTTCTTGGTAAAGATTGCTTTCTTTGTATCACATTTGAACGTTCCTTGTCTTCCCACTTTTGTATAGCAGAAGTCTGCATACCTTTGTCAAGACTTTGGCTGCATATTTTGTATAAGGACCCATTTAGCTAACTGAATATAACAGTCAGGTTTCTCATTAGCCTATTCTCCTCTTTGCTCTGAGACTCATCATATATCACGTCCCCCATTCCTCTCAGTGGCCCTTGGCTGGTCTTCTCTATCCAGCTCCAGCACATACTGATTCATGGAGTCAGACCATCTCAGACAAAGCCTGGTCTTTGAATCATTGACTGTTACCCTTTCAGCCCCCTACTCCAAGCAATTTTTCACCAACCTCGCAATACGTGCACTATAGAATGAGAGAGGATTTTCAAAGTCCTGCTAAAATCAAGGTAAATCACATTCATTTTTCTCCCCTTCTTTGGGGTTTGTGAGCCAATTATCTTTTCATATGAAGTAATCAGTTTGGCCAGGCACAATTCACCCGTTGTAAATGTGTTCTGACTGCTGCTTCTTTTTCTTGACTTATTTTGTTTCTGGAAATGGCTTCCAAGAGAATTGTTCCATAGCCCTCCTAAGGACAGAGGTCACCTCCTCCAGTCACTGTGCCCTGTCAGAGGTGATAGTGTAGACTCTCAGTGACCACAGCCAGTTCCCTCAATATCCTCAGATATAACCTTCCAGGTCTCACGGACTTCTATATATGCAGCTAACATTAGTCCCTAACTCAATCCTTCTGTGCCATGCAAAGCACTTTCCTCCACTAGCATCTGCTGCTAGCTATTCAAGACCTGTAGAGTGTGTGAGGGGTGATTGGTGCATTGAATACCTCAGTCATGAACTTTGTAGGACTCCTCCTTCATCTGTGGAATCATGTCGTCTTTTTTCTGCTGAAGTATCTGCAGAAACCCTTTGTGTTGCCCTCCATTTTCCTGGCTAGTCTCAACCCCAGCTGAGCTTTCACTTTCCTTGTCCTGTCTTGGTGTGCCCAGGACATGTCCCTGTTCGCATGCTGAGCAGCTTGTGCCTTTTTCACCTTCCATACACTATCCTTTGATTTTCATCTCAATCAGAAATCTTCTATAAAGACAGGCTTGCTTGCTTTCCCTGCCTACTTTGTGCCTTGCACATTGGGACAGGCTGTTCTTGAGATTTAAGGAGGTTTTTCTTGAAGATGCAAAAGCTATTCTGGGATCCTTGGCATTTCAATTACCACATCTGGACTTGATTTTCCTTTGAGTCACCATTGTGTAAATTCAGGTCAGAAACCTCCAAAATGCAGCTATTACATATTCTCACAGTGGGATTTGTACAGCACATATCCGTAATACAGGAGTGATACAATACTTCAGGGTATTTCCTCACAAAAGTGTTATTTAATCTTATTTTACTGGTCATTTGTAAAATGTCAGTCTTTTTTTAATTAACACATTTTCATTTTCATATGACTAATATGAGGATTGAAAGGTCAGCTAAGTATGAATATATTGTGAATAGAAACATTTTCTCTTTTAAATAACATAATAGGAATTTCAAAAGTTTCCATGAAAGGAGAACAGACAGGATGCATTATACTAAATTTATAGATGACAAAATTATTTAAGATTTCTCATTAAAATAGCCAATACCAGTGAAGATTTCATATCTTTTTAGGCCATTTCTTCAAAGTCTGAAGCTTGTTATTAGGAAGGCTTTCATAATTTCAAACCAAATTCTCCCTCTCAAAGTCTTTCAATTCTGGGAGATTTGTTCAAGACTTCCTGACCAAGCCTACATTTCGTAGAAGTGTACTGTCTGCTTTCAGAGAGTCTAAAAATATACAATATTCCCATATAGGTGTTTTTTTTTTTTTTTTAACTTTTCCCATGGATCTTATGCTAAATGTAAACAATCAAATGACCTGAAGCTCTTAGTTTCAAGAAGGTCTTTATTTAATGGTTGGTTTTTTTTTTTTTTTTTTGATATTTTAATCTTTTGACTGACTTTAATCATGTTTAAGTTAAAATATTTTAGTTGTACATGAAATATATGTAAATATTTTTGTTCTACTTTGATTCACTAAATAATCATTAAAAAGCTGGTTGTAAGTAAAAGTTTGTGTCGTCTTAAATAGAGCAATCTATCATAAAAGTTTAAGTAACAGAAAAAAGGAGCAGGATTCTTGTAGTTCTACTGAAATAAGCATCTAATTTTCCCAGTCTAACATGTTCTTAAACTCCAGTAGTGATTTGTCTCTACCATCCCATGAAACAGTATGTCTCATTATTCTTTATTCCTGAAAGTTTACCCTAATAAATATCTGATATTCTTGTAATTTAAGACTATTCACTTAGTGTATTGCCCTAACAGTTTCTGAATAAGTTTCTTACATATTTGATAGCTCTTATCATGTCTCCTCTCCATACTTTTTGATATTAACACCTGTTTTTCCTTTCTGACTTCACTGGCTATGTCTTCCTCATCTTCAGTTCTTTTGATATTTCTACCTAGAGAAATGGTTACCAGAAATCAATAATCCAAAACCAGGAAATATATCTAATGAGAAATTAGATTGTGACAATTTACAAAGGTTGATAACCTTTATAAACTAATAGTCCTGTTGCATTTGTAAGAACTGATAAACACATGACACCAAGAGTATGCTGTGACTGTAGAAGGCCACTAGTGCACACAGGAACCAGCAGTGGATTGTAAAACATGGACCACACCCAAGACAGCAGTGAGTGGTACCTGATAATGAAGACTGTAATCTTCTAAAGGATGTTCCAGGCACTCTCTGAGAAGCTCCAGTATGGCTTCTGAAGCTGAGGATATGGTTGGGATTGGTTGCCAAATTTCACTTCAACCATGTAGCTGTGAGGGACCAACTGTAAGTGAGTTGCTTAAATGAAGGAGTGAATATGTTGTGTCACCAGTAATCTGCTATTCGTAACATCATGGTGAAAAATAAATCAAACTTATTCTAAGAAATGCTGGTTATGATCTGCGTTTCCTCCCAGATTTATTCTGTGTCAGTGAAATGAACTTTACAAGAGATTTTGGTCTATAAATTCAGTTAGAACTGATGCCTTCAGGCCAGATTCCAGTGGGCAAGAGCCAGAATTTCTGTGGTCAACAGGAAAGGTTTGAACTGCTCCATAAACATGAAGTTGTCCTGATGTCACTGAATCTGGACACAGGAAAAGCTAAAGTCCTGTTGTCTCTCCTTTGTTGTGTCCTTATCTGACAAGCTTTCTCTTGTGGAGAAGCCTCTGGGGTGATGGAAGGAAAAAATCTCCCATAAAGAGGTATAGAAAAAACTGCTTGCAACCCAAGAACATGCTGTGAGAAAGCTTAAAGGTAGTCAGTTTCTCTGCAGATACCATGGATAGTGAAGAGATTTGTTTGTAGGCAACCTAGTAGAGAATGAAGCAAACCCTTTGGTGTCCTGTTACATGCTTGATTTGAGGAAAAGGTGTCAGTAAATCCACCTGCTGGATCTGGCCAGTTTGGGATCTACCTGCTGGGTGTGGAGAAAGCATGACAAACAAGGAAGAAAGAGGGTATATTGGGTGTATGATTCCTGTGATCAGAGGAGAGAACAGGGGAGAAGAATCAGCCGCAAAGAGGCAAGTGGAATAATAATGAGAATTGATTGCACATCTCCCATCCTCCCAAAGATGTCTCCTGCACCCCATCTTGCAAGAAAATTGCTTTTTATTTCCAGGCAGTGGGAACAGCTGCCTTTTCTCCTGGCGATGCTACAACATGTGATGGTGATGGTTGTTAGCTTCCTGTCTGAAAACAAGTGTCTGATAATGGCACAGTATTATGTGTACTGTGACTTAATGTTGCACTTAAAAACAAGCAACATTTAGGATCTATTCAGAGTGAAATCTGTTTACAACAAATTTTTAATAGGAAATGGGAAAACAGAAATATGCAATCTCCATACGTTGCAAAAATAACAAATGTCTGGGAAAGAAGAGACTGACTGGCTTCTGGCTGATTATTTCCCAAAGCAGCTACATTTAAATTGCACAACATTAAAGCTGTTCATTCTTAGTTGGATTAAAACTAAAATAGAATTGATTGTGCCACTAAAAGCTATCTGCATTATAATTACTTTACTGAAGATGTGAAATTTAATTATAAAAAAATGTAGCAGAGTAGAAAAGTAGGGAAGGGGTTTTAAATAAAGGAAGCTAGAAATAAGATAAAAAGGACCTCTTTGCATGAAAGCTATTTCTATTCAGCTAAAGAGTCACAAAAGACAATTGTCTTCCTTTATTTTCCATTGCTTTTTGTGCACTTTCATATATTGACTAGAACTACACTGAATACTTGAATTATTTCAGTTCCAAAAGCTTAATATTTAATTCCAGACCTGCTAATTTATTCATATGCTGCTTTTAATTGCTACCACAAGCAATGAAAGCGTCATAAAAAGTCAATTTTGAAAATAGTTTGTGTGTGTTCTCATTTGATATCATTGTAGGTAAAATGGCCACAGGCATGCCATTCTTGGCAGTGGAATCTCCATCTCTGGGAATATTCAAAGCTCAGCTGGAAAAGGTCATGAGGAAGCTTTGAGAAGGAACTTAGCTTTGAGCAGGGCATTCAACCAAACAACTTCCAGTGGTCCCTTGCTGTATAGTTCTGCAGTCAGCAGAGGTATACAGGATTGTACAAACAGGAGCCAGTTTTGCATGTGGTGTGAGCAGCACAGAGCTCCATCCACCTGGAGTCTGGGAAAGGGAATCACCCTGGAACTTATGTTGGATATACTGTGTATGTTCCATGAACAGCCAACGGCTTCCTGAAACGGCTGCAAACTAATGTCTGTAGTGTGCCCTAAAGTGGCAGAAAGGGTTGATTGAAAGTATGGATATGATATGTGATGAATTATGCTAATGAATGTGGCGACAGTGTCTCACATAAAATAGCAAAGAAAACATAATCTTCACGCAAGCTTTTCAGAACAGACTTGAGTTTGATAGACTGTGTTGCTGCCAAGAAAATGGGCAAGATTACTAAAAATGTGGGCAGGAGCCCAGACTGAGCTTGAATTCACATGGCATCATAAATATAGAAATTCAGAGAAGTTAACTCTTTACCTGCAGTGATAAGAACAGGAACTACAAAAGTACGCCCTGCTGGACACTGTGCCCACTTATGTGAATGTTTAGAGATGTTAGCTGGAGGCATTGGCTACAGAGGATGCTGCCTTGCATAGTTGGGAACTGGCTGTGACTCAAATCTAAATTTTTACCCAAGGCTTTCCAGCTATCTACAGATGTTTCAGATAAATTGACCAGTTTTGCGATCCTGTGAGTCATGACATTAAGAGCTGAAAACATTTTTGCAGGTATCAGATTTTATAACACCATCATGTAGTTCTGGTGTGGGAATTAGAGGATGTGTGGTTTGCCTGGGAGGGAGGAGAGCCTGACCTATTGCATAAGCTGGGAATGAGAGACTAACCTTTCACTTTTCCTGTGTCCGGAAATCATAGAACCTTTGTGCAGTGTAAAATTTTCTAACTCACTACAGAGATTCTGGTTAGTCCACAGAAATCTGCCTGGAGACCGCCATTTCCTTTCACAGATGTCTGTCAAACTGATGGTTTTACACACTGCTTCTTCATTATTTCTCACTTTTTCTTCCATCCTCTTAACTTTTATTAGTTGCAGAGATGGGATGGCAAGGTTCAACTCTGCAAATTTGCAAGTTTCCTCTTTCTCTAATATGTGTATATATTATTGAAGAATTATCTAGTGTTTGGTTAATGATGTAAAAGAGCACCTGATTATTCTGTATTAGATAACTCTGTGGGATATTGACACTAGTAAGTGTAATACAGTCTTCCCACCTGAAAAGTCTAGGTTGGGCACTTTTTCCTCAAACATATAGGTGTGGTGCCGGAGTAGGTTTAAAGTAGAAAATCCTGACAGAGATTGCCTTAATCAGTAGGTTACAGTGGGGCCAATCTAGCCCTGGGGCCCTGGTCCCAGCTCCATACAGCTTGTGTGGATAGCAGTAAGCCTACACTGTGCAAACTAAATGAACTGAACTTGCCCTTAAAGTCTGAGCCATATATCCTAAATACAAATGTCACCTCTGTAGCTCTTTTCAGGCTCATTACTGGAGAGCAGATGCCAAGCTGCCTAAATATGGATAGCTTTAGGTATGGGTTCTAGGTTTGGTTCAGTCTCTTTCTCCCTAAAACAGACAGTTCTGTACAAATGGAGCACCCAAAGTTGCATGCCTAACACAAGTTTAGGTTAAGTGAGGTGGTATCTTCAGGAGAAAACAGTCTTGAAAAGCATGGAAACTGTGACGATTGATGGCCAAGCCTAAGGAAAACCAGCTCCTCTTCCCAGACAATTACGAGTTCAATCCCAAAAAGAAATCAAAGAAGAAAAACCTGCATAATGCCCAGACTATGCCTGGAAGAGCTGTGATAGATTTAGATGCTCTTCATAACAAAGAAATCTGGAAACTATTTCAGATTGAAGTTGGTTCTTGAAGCAATTCACAGAGGACCTTTCACTGTCCGAGAACTACTGCGTGTAACTGCCCAGGAAAAAACTTAGGCATACAGATTTTTTAATCATTTTTCAGTTAAGAGATTTCTTTAGTTATGGTCCATGTGAACATTTGCTCTATCTTCTTCTGTGCTGTTAATTATGAATGGGACCTTGGTGTGTGGATGGACAGTCAGCTGAATATGAGCCAGCAGGTGCTCAGGTAGCCAAGAAGGCCAATGGCTTCCTGCCTTGTATCAGGAATGGTGTGGTGAGCAGGTCTAGGGATGTAATCCTGCCCCTGTACTTAGCACAGGTTAGGCCCCACCTCGAGTACTGTGTTCAGTTTTGGGCAGCTCAATACACAAAGGACATTGAGGTGCTGGAGCAGGTCCAAAGAGGGGCAACAAGGCTTGTGAAGGGCTTGGAAAATATGCCCTACAAGGAGAGACTGAAGGAACTGGGGCTATTTAGTCTGGGGAAAAGTAGGCTGAGGGGAGACCTTATTGCTCTCTTCCAATATTTGAAAGGTGCTTACAGGAAGAGCACGGCTGGTCTCTTCTCACTGGTGACAGGTGACAGGATGAGGGGAAATGGCCTCAAGTTGCACCAGGGTAAGTTTAGGTTGGATATCAGGAAAATCTCTACAGAAAGGGTTTTTAAGCACTGAAATAGACCACCTGGGGAGGTGGTTGAGTCACCATCCCTGGGTGTGTTTAAAAGCCATTTGGATGTGGTGCTCAAGGACATGATTTAGCAGTGGGTTGTTAGAGTTAGAGTAATATGGTTAGGTTGTGGTCGGACTTGGTGATCTTTAAGATCTTTTCCAGCCTGAGTAGTTCTATGATTCTTTGATTCTATGAAATTTCTTTTCTCTACCAGAAAATAAATTTGATACAATTGCAGTTGGCAGGTGTATGAAGAGGGGATGAAGACAAAGACTTCCTTCTACGTTGATGAAGAAAGAAAAAACTTCAGTTTCTTCAGAAGGAACTCTTCCACCTTCATACAGACTGACAGACTGGTCAGGCCCCAAGTATCAAATATAAAGTTTTTGGAGTTCATTATCTGCAGGGTGGGGGGTGGGGAGAAATTTTTTGCCAGTCTTTCTGCTTCAGCAAGTTTCTCTTGCATATTCAAGTCAAATCTCACGCTTGACTATGGTAGAGAACATGAAGAAAGGGATTTAAGGTCTATTATCCCATGGAAAATATTTTGAAGCATTTTTTTTCTGGAACGTGCTATATGTTTTTGTTGGTTTTATTGTTTTATTGTTTTTTTGTTTTTAATTTTTTTATAAGGAAGGAAAAAGCGATAAAGCAAAGGAAGAAAATAATGACCATCATAGAGATAACATAAAGAGCAGAGATCTTTTTACAGTTATTTTTATAACTACATACTGATATCAAGGAAGTATGACTGGAAAAGTTATTTTATCTTACAGATGTCATGCATGTTAACAACAGTCTAAATTTGTATTTTGATTACTTACAACAATTACTGAGGATCAGTTAATGAGGAGCAACTAAAGGGTAGTACAAAATGTGGATGAGTGTAGCTTAAAATCAGCAGTCGCAGAGCATACATCAACCTGTTGTACCTCAGCCAAAATATTGAGGTTCAAATGCTCTTGGATTATCTTGCCTAGGGAATGTCTGCAGCTGTGATGTGGCTTTCAGGTGCAAGCCTCCCAGATGGGCCCTTCATCCCCTGGAACACGGTGTCTGTGGCTCCACTGCTGGAAAACCAGCAGTTGTAGTTTAAGCTGGCAGCAGCTCAGCACCACTCAGCCATACGAACATTCCTACACACCCCTCCAAGAGTTCAAAACAAAACGCAACCTATAGATTGAGATTAAAAAAAAAAAAAAAGAGAGAGAATTTACTGAGACAGAAGAGGAAAATTTAAAAGAAAATGCAATTATCATCACCTACCAACCAGTTCACAGCAACAGTACAATGCCAATTCCCTGGGCTTAATTCAGGCACCTGTCCTGTCCCCACCCCACCCTTGATTCCACACAATGGAGGCAGTGTCTCTTCCCCCACAGAGTTGTCCCATCACTCGGCAACAGTCTTAACAGCAGTGTGCTATTAATAGTGTTTTGGCTCTTATCAGAATATCCTGGAGATTAATTTTGCTGAAAGAGAGACAACTGAGTTTAGCTGGCTTCTGATAACTGCTTATCTCTTTTGTTTTTATAAAGTGTTTCACTAAATAATCTGTCCAAGTACTAAATTCTCAATTATTTTTTCCCCGATGCTGAACTCTCCCTTGTTAAACAGTTTCCATTGTTCCTTTTTCCTGTACTTCCTGTCATTTTCTGAGTAGGAGAGTTTATGACCTTTCTCCATGTAGTGATGTTTTATATCTTTGAAGATTGTTATTTGGTGCTCTTGTCTTCCCTCCTCTGGACAAAGTTTTTTCTGCATCTCCTCA